TCCCTACACAGATGAAAAGTGATTCTCCTGGTATACCATGTAGTTAAAAAAACCCAAAGCTCTGTTGTAATTAAAGTCATTTTCTCAGCATGACCATGATTTGGGATTGCACAAAGCAAACATTGCTATCAGTCAACTGTGACTCTTATGAAGTTTATGCATTGAAGATGGTAGTGAAAGACTGGGGAAAATGCAGTCTTGCATATTAATTTTTCAAGGAACAAAGGGACTGAATCAATTGAGTTCCAAAGTCAAATGAGTTCCTGTAAGCCCTTTTGTGAAAACTCACAGATAAAATCAGTGTAACTTCTCTCTTGTAAATCCCTTCTCCTATCTCTGCTGGTATGTACCACAGCTGTTACTTTTCCTTTATGTATCAAGGTTATTTCTTTAATTCCAAGCAAGACTGGGGAGGGAACAATATTGTTTGATTTTCCAAGGCTAGTCAAAAGATAACGTAGAATTTATTCTTTAAGGGTTCAAAGGAAATAACATAAATTAATCTGTCCATTGTCAGATATCCTTGGATAACTATGTCGCAGACAAATAAAACAATAAACATGTCTTAGAAAAAAAATCACATTTAAATGGAAACCTTCTCTCTACATCTCCTTAAGATGTACATTTCCCAAATTCCAACCTCTTTCTCACCACTCCATGTTAATCTGGAATAAGGCGTTCCAAGTTATTTCTATCAATAAGTATATTTCTGGTTTTAAACAGTATTAAATCCCATCTTTGAACTTGACATTCAGTTTCTGTGATGAGCTAGTTACTGTTCTAGGAAGGACAAAGACTGCACGGAAGAAAATGAAGTAAATCAAACAGGATGCCTCTGCCCTGGTTCCAGCTACTCAGGATTCCTCCCCACTCCCTACACAGATTGTGTACGGTCCCCTGATTCAATGCATAACCCCAAAATCACGTTTTCTTTTTGCTATCCATGGCAGTAGCAGAGGAAAACAATAGTGCTGAGGGTTTCTGAAACTGTTTAAGAGGAAGGTTTCTATGGATGACATCTTGTTCTTATGGACCTTACACAACATAGATCACCCTGGAAAATCATAATTTTTAACCCTGCAGCCTTGGTCCAGCACTGTTTCGGGATGAATAAATTTAGCATCACTATGCTGGGCGCTGATTCTACTCTCCCACGCACATCATATACCTGCGCCATTTCTGTTCTCATGAATGGGAAAAGTGAAAAGCCCATGTTTTTACCTTTGGCTGGGTAACATGCCCACCTCTGCCTGAGGTGCAGACACGCTGGAGAGATGGCTGGAGAACCGCCTCCTCCCAATGGCACCCATAAGGTATGCTTCTTGTTCACTTACCACACTGGGCATGCTCAAGGAGTCATCTAGAAAGAAAGCAAGCACAGGAAAGGCGAGGAAACAACCACCCCAAACCCCAGCTACATATTTACAATTGTCAGGAGTTCACAGGATGCCAAAGGTGTACCCAGCAATCACTTATGAAGACCCTAAGCCTGCAGATTTGAATAGTTCCATTAGGTTTTACAGTCACAGTTCATATGGCATGTGCATAAAATCCTGCAGGATGAGGAACCCAGCACACATGGGGCAGGGATTTACGTGTGCTTTCAGCTTATATGGCTTTCAGGAAAATGTGTTTGGGGAATTGAGCTTCCACTAGGGCTTAATTCCTGTGATTAAGAAATTGTTTGTTAATATGCTGTGTTTTCTGGCATAAAAATTGCAACTGGATGTTTTGCTGGTGTGAAATAATCTGCTGCTATGATATAGCAAAGCACTGTTACAAAAGATAAAATACATAACCGCAAAATGCAGAGCTGACACCCTTTAACACCCTTTGGGACATGCATTTTAAAATGTCACCAAAAAATTGGATAAATTGACTCAAATACATCATACTGCAACTGAATTATGCAGACAGCTGGACTGTGATCAGGACTGCTTGACATTTTCAGCGCTGTTTAAAATTATATAAAGTACCTAGGAAGAAAGGACTCTGTTGTGGTTTTTACCACAACAACTTCTAATTACAAACAAACAAATAAAACAAGAGGAAGTTTTGTGTAATTTCCTCTGTTCTTTTTGACCTTTTCCAATTTTGATATAGTGAAATATTTTCTGGCAGCATTAAGCCAAGGCAGGGCTGAAGTAATACTGCTGCAAGCAAATATGAAGGTAGCATTCACCATTCCACGCAGTAGCTCATCATTAATCTGAGGCTGAAGCCAGAGTTTGCCACAGCGAGTATCTGAGCATCATGTCAGCAGTACAATGCTGGGTGGATTGTGCAATGTTTGGTGATGGACCCAGCTAAAATAAAGTTGGGCTGAGCCTGGAAAGTTACAGGCTAACTGTTCTTTCCCAGAAGCTAATTCTGCCATAATTGCACAGGCCCTTCTTTTAAGCCCATTTTTTGCCCCTTTTGTTTAATGTCTTTGCGGAATGGTCAGCAGTCCTCAAATACAGAAGTGAAGCACCTGAGTTTTGGGCATTGAGGCAACTGGCCGTTGCAGCACCAGAAGACCATATCCCTGCTAAAGTAGGGGGAAGCCCAACCCTGATGCCATACGAGCAGAGTTTTCTACCCTGGTTCTCAGAGCAGATGGACAGCTCAGAAGCAGACAGAAGGCAAAATTCCAAGAATAACATGAAACTCAGCTGAAATGAAAAAGCAACATTCACGTCATTGCAAATTAGTCCCCAAAAGATTCACCATCCCATTCCTTCTAAACTGGCACCAGAAAGCCTGGCAGCCCCAGAACCTGCCAGCTGCCCAGAAGGGAGATCAAGCTTTTGTTGCCAGTAGGTTTAAGGCTTAATTTCCTCTTTGTTAATCGAGTGACACAAGCACACAGACATTCCACCCTGCAAAGAGCCACAGCTGGATCCCCTGAAGCACAAGGACAACATATTCCACATCGGAGCATCTGGACAGAAGGGATGAGCAGGAAGCAGCAAGATCCTGCAGGAACAGGATCCTGACTACAGAGCCAGCCACAGCCCTGTACTGCTGCTGTGATTAAGGTCAAGGAGAAGACTGATTGCCAAATGCCTTGCCAGCACGGTGAGGACTGCATGTCAGCCCAGGTCTCACACACTAAAAATCGTAATGACTCAAGCTTTAACACCATGAACTGTGCAGCAACCACACCAGTTTCTTAGCCTCATGCCCCTATGGGTCTTTTGTTCACATGAGGACAGGGACAACTGTCTTCCCCTCCCAGCCATCCTCTGGGCATCAAGAAAACACCCTTCAGTGTCGGGAGCTTAGCTTGAATCTGTTGCCACATACTTTCTTCGTCCTCCTCATCCGTGCGGCTCAGCGTGTCCTGCGAGGCCTGCTGGGAGGGCTCGCTGTCCTGCTCCCAGACCGTGCCCGTGCCAGTGTTGGAGCGGGACATGGTGGCCAGGCTCAGGCGGTATGCGGAGGTGGAGGTGCCCACGGTGCTGACAGATGTCTTCCCTTGGTAAGCTGCACAAGAGTGTGAAAACCAAACGCAAGTCAGTGATGGCACTGGAAATCAATAGCCACCTGAGAATTCCTGCCACGTTGGGCACCTGATTCAGCCTGGACTAATGGGGCAGGGGTTGGCAGAGGTGATAAAACAGACACGTCTGCCCTGGCTCAACTCATCTCTCTGTCTGTTTGTCTTATGCAGTCTGGTTTTCTCCCTCAGCCTCAGTGCCACATTTTCCAGATCAGCTTCAACATTTAGGAACAAGGCAAATTATTACCAAGGGAAAAAAAAAGGCTGAGGCATTTTGTTTTGGATGTGTTTTCCTTTCTTAAGAACAAAGCACATAAAACCTCTTGCAGTGTGTGAGCATTGGGTGCCATCTCGTGGGGACAAGGATGACTTGCAGGAGAAAAGTGTCCCCTCATGCGAGAGAATTCAGTGCACCGTGAACGGTAGAGAAAATCAAAAAGAGACTATAAGAAAGGAGACAGATCTGCTGCTGACAGACAGACAGAGGATTCTGCACAAGCAGCTCCAGATTTACACAGATGGAGGCAGCAGGTTGCTGCACGGTGGTTGGGGCTCCACAAGCCAGCTGTGACACCAAGAGGTGGCTGCTGGGAAACGGGACACAGACTTGGTGGGAAAAAATGGGCAAAACAAGGTGCATTCCACCACTAACCTGGACTTCTGTTGGCTGTCCAGTGGCAAGGCGGGGCTGGGCATAGGGCCTGATCCAGGGGCAGGCTGCTGGAGTGCGGGTGGATTACCCCACCCCACTCCTAGGCAGCGGGCAGGTCTGCCTCCCAGTTAATTTACGGGTGGAGCCAGCTGGCCAGATTGGGCCCATGGCCCTTGGCCCTCCCCTCTCCTCCTTACCAGACCCGCTGTGCACTGCCTCCTTCAGGATCTTCAGCTCGTTATTGAATTCGGCGATGAGGGAGCTCTTGCAGAGTGGGCGTGGTATGAACCGTCGCTCCAGCTGGTCGGCGATGTGCTGTCGGGCAGTCAGCTCCTCATGGTTCTCAGCCGGCTGGGCCAGCAGCTGCAAAATTGGGAAATGTTAGCAGTGCAGGGAAATGATGCCCAGGGAACTGGGACTGGTCTCCAAACCAGCATGAGCCTGCAGCCAACAGACTGTCCTCTTTGTAGGCATGAAGTTTTGATTCCAGCTATGAGGTTTCCGCCTGTCTTTCAAGGAAGACCTTATATTTGACTGAACAGATACCAAAACCTCACTGACATGGGTACATGGGGATGAGGGCTTCCGTATGCTAAGCTCTGCCCTCAGACGTGAGACAGCTCCTTCCTCCAGTATGATTTAGTCTGTCCAAGTGATGAGACATGGTAGCCTAAATAAGGTGAAGTACCATGTGCTAGTCTACCTGGTAAGCAGGAAAGAGCTGTGATTAGCTTAAGTCCTGGCCACCTCAGCCGAGCCACTGTCTGTCCGTTTGCAAGAGCCTTGTCAGAACCCTCCGCAAAAAATGTAAAGTGGGGTGGTTCTTCCTGGCTGTCAGCTCTGCGCAGAAGAGAGACTTCTGGAAGATTTCTGCCAACCATGCCAACCCCCTCTAGGTTCAGAACATCCACATGATTTCCAAGTTCTTTGAGTGTCTTTGTTGCAAAACTAAGTCCACATGCAAACCCTCTTGGTCGAGCCTGATAGTACCTTTCCATCCAGGGGAACTAAGACTAGCTATACTATCCAACCCAAACCATTCTATTACTCTATGATTCTGTGATATTCCATGGCTTCATGGATGAGAGCTCCTGGATAATTGGCACACTCTTTAGCGTTGTCTAGGAAAAAGCCTCAGTTTCAAAGGGTTCAGAGGCCCGCTAACTTCTGGAAAGTCACTCCCTACCTAAACACCCAGTTTTTCCACGAGTGCCATTTCTCTGTTCTCAGCAGGGGAATAAAGGGTATCTTGCCCTCAGCGAGTCATCTAGCAGGAGCCAAAGCAACTGTTACCTTGCACTGGATGAAGGGACGAAGGAGCACAAAGATAGGGATCCGTGTTCGTACGATAAAGTCGAGGAAATCCCACAGGGCCAGCCCTCCCACCTTCCGCAGCGCCATCTCTTTGACTTGCAGGCTCAGCCAGTACCACTGGCTGTCCAGTTGGCGTTCAAAGCAAACAAGGATCACCTTCAGGGCTACAGGGGAACACACACCAGCAAACAGCAGTCAGAGAGGTTATCAGTGTCCCTTGCAAGAGCTGAGGGAGGCATGGAGGGGCCAGAGTGGGCGTAACCTACACATGCATGCATCCACATGCACATGCACACCCACACAGCTCAGAGTCACAACTGTCTTTTCCATCAGTCTCCAAATGCTGCAGGGGAGGACAACCTTCTTATAATAAAGGCCTCAGGATCAGGATTGAGAGTCCCATTTCCAGATAAATTTTCCTACTTCACACCTAAGTTCCTCTGTATTTTCTTGCTCTAGCTTTCCCTCTCCCTCCCTGCAGGGTACTTTTTTCTGGAATTCAAATCTTTTCAAAGCAGGTCAGGAGGGGAATTCAGCCAGGGCTGATCAGACAACCTCAAAAATGTTGATCAAGCATATCCACGCACCGAGTCACCCTGTGAGCACAATAACCTCCAGGTTGTTTATGGGTAATGAAAAGAACCTTTCTAGCAGTGCAGCTGCATGAGTCATGGCCAAACTGTAATCTAAACAAAAATACAGTCCAGTAAACCAAGGGCCGTAATTCACAAGAGCACTGCTTTGCTAAAGGTGATGAACAGCGATGCAGTACAAAACAATGCTCTGTATTAAAGTGGGCTGTGACCAACAGTTAGCTCACAGGAGAGACAAGGAATCTCCCCCTTCCCATCCTCCCCTGGTCTGGAACAAACAGGGAGGCCTGGGAATTCCTTGGTAAAGGTTGATTACTCCATCTTTCTTGATGGGATGGCCAGGACATCTCAACCATCACACATCTGTATCCAGGTTTGCTGGGATGGGAGGTGGGGTGGCTAAATCAGTGGCGAATTGCCATTTTTTTCATCAGCGTTACCCCATACCTCAGGTATAGGTTAACAAAGATCTGAGTATAAGTCTTTGGGTAAATGACATCACAAAATCAGAGAGAAACTGTTTGCAGGAGTGAGAGCCTTGAGATAAAACTCTCCCCATATAGCCCTGATAATTTGCACTGCTGCTGCATGTCCAATTTGAATATTTTTTCTTTCCTTTCAGCTGTAGAGCAGACACAGCTCATGTCGCAATATATTCCAGAGATACTCCTGGCTTAATGCTCTGGCCTGGCTCCCTTGTTCAGGAGAAGACCTAAAGCAGCTCTAAAGACCTCCATTAGCTCCTGCCTAAAGACCTCAATTAGCTCCTGCCTGAGACTTTTCTTTGGTGCTATCTACAGTCCTGAATGCCCCACTTTGTCTCTTCTCAGTGGTCAGCAGAAGCCATCACTCACCCAGGTAGGCAGCCTGGCTGGTGGACTCCGCGAGCCCTTCCCGTCGCAGGTCCTTCCCCGCGTCCCCTGGAGTGGAACAATGGGCAGGGGAGCTCTCCAGCATAAAATTCTTGCTGCGGGAAGTGCTGATGATGCGAGGTGGCAGGAGGATATTGATAACAGTCTGGAGCAGCAGCAGGACCTCAGGCTGCTCCAGCCAGGGGCTGTCTGAGATGCATTGGGAGGGGAGAGAGAGAAAAAGATAAGGTTACATCCCATCAAAGACACCCAAAAGGTTCAGTTCCAAAATGGGGTGCAATCTCAAATGTCCCCTAAGCCAAAACTCCGTCCCCCACACCTTGTTATGCTGCTTCTCTTCCTGCAAGCAAAGGCAAAGTTTTATTTTAGCACCAACACAAACACACACGAACATAGAGCTACACAGCACAAAGAAACGTTCTGTTCATGGTCTCATAATCTCATTTCCTTTTGACAATCCTCTCTGCCTTTACTCTTTGCTTTCATTTAGGGATTTGCCAGCAACCACCCTCTATAGAAGAAAGCAAAGAGCAGGACTTGTGCCAGACAAGTGGCATGGATCGGGCAGACTGTGGTGCACAGGGGCACACAACTTCTGTGACCTCTGCTCCCCTCTGTGGCTTCTGCTACAACAGATTTGTCTTGCCCTGCACTCCAGTTTCAAAAGAAGGAGCACCTTTGTATAAGACTTGACTCAAGAACCATAGCACAGCTGAAACAAAGAAGAAACAACAACAACTTCTCCCAGTGGGGCTCTTTTCAGTCTTGGACCCAAAGGGCACTTAGCTGACACACTGCCAGTGACAGAAAACCAAATTAAAAAATAAAAATAAAAAAATCATCAGAGAGCAGGGAAAGCGCAAACACTGGTTGTCAGAAAAGGGGGAGAAAAATTCATTTTGTTAAATTAGTCAGACCTTTGCTTCCAGATCCTACTGTGAGCACAAATGGAATCAGTAGGTTTAAAAGCATTCCTTCCCTTCTTTCCTGATTGGTGAATGGGGAGACGACTTGGCTTAGGGGGAAATCTTCTTTCAAAGCCTGTGCAGTAATAATAAGAAAGGATTAAGCAATTTCATCAGCAGATCAGGCATACAAGTTACTGCAGGGAATGACGATCCCCTGGGCATCCTGTTTACACAATACAATATCAGCATTGATGTCCTGATTGAATTAAAAGCCCTGAGACCACGTAGTCAGGACTAAAATGAATTCACAGAGTAACATAGGTGTCACCTGCTCTTGTCATTGCCAAGAGGTAAGAAGCCCAGACTCCTAAGTCATAGATACCGTTAACAAAATCAGATGTGCCCCACAGGAGTCAGCTGAGTGTTAGTCCTAAACTCTGCACTACTGTGAATGGCATCAGGATCTGACCCAGACTACAGGGAATAAAAAAAAAAAACAAACAGAGGAAATTGCACAAGTGACATGATCTAAATATTCTGCTGTCCGAACATGAAGGTTATTCCTAAACACATTTTTTTGTTCAGACTCACTTTGTGATGTCCTGTCATCCTCCCTAACACAAAGAATGAAGTCCTGAAATATAAACAAAAGGCACATTTACTTCTTGACGCATAGTCAAGCCTAAACTGAAAGGTCTTTCGTCTTCAGAGGAGGTAATACAAATGATTGTCAGTAGAACTCTGCTCATTTGCAACTTCCCAGTTGCTACAGACTTAACTGTGAAGTGCAACTGAACCTCAAAACCCCTCAAGCTTGCAGATCTGGGCTGAGAAGTTCCAGGAGAAGATGTTTTCTGATGGGGTGTGAAGTACTTTGGTTTCATATCCTGCTGGAAATATTAGGAATATGACTACTTGTGTTTTTCTGACATGTTTGATTTTTATCACATTTAAAGCCCATGAAAAGAATGAGTGAATAGGGATAATAAAAGTAAAAACTCCCGATACTTAAAAAAAATTATTATTTTGGTATCTGGTTTTTAAAAAGGTAAAAGATTTCAGAGAAGGTGAAGGTGGCCCTCTTTTTGCTTTTGATTAAGGAACCACTACCTCAGAGCTGGAAGAAGTCTGTCCTCTTTCTATGTCAGTTGGTACCAAAAAGTCCTTTTGTGCCTCATGCTCTGAGGGAGAACACTGTGTTTTGGCCCCTATAAGCCCTCCTTTTTCAAGCCGCCCCACTACTCAGAAATACCTGCTGAAGTATTCAACTGGAGGTGCCAACACATATTTTAAAATGCAAGTTGGAGCTAGACAAGGAAATTTGTCCCTTCATTGGTCACCATTCTGTCTGATTTCATGCCAATGGGGATGGAAAGGGATACAGAGGCAGAAAGACTGTGTAATAGTTATGGCACTGCTATGAGAAAGGAATAGCGATGAATTCTCCAAGAAGTCCAGGATGGGGTTTTTTACTCTGGACAACAAAGATGCTATTGAGCCAGCAGCTGAAAAGCCAAGTAGCCCTGCTTTTTTGAGCTGGCACACTGTGTGACCAGCTCAGGTAAGAGCAGAAGAGCACAAACTCCCCACTCGGTTACACACATGGTCCCACAGGAAAAGAGGTAGGGTTGCATGGATGTGACCCAGGCCAGGGCCCATCTCCCCATGGCAGGAAACTTAGATAACTCCTTAGATCCTGCAGAGAATCCTAATGTGCTTGTCGGAGCCTTAAACAGCATCAATCAGCCGAACTCCCTGGACTTCAATGGCAGTGTTAAGCTGGTGGATGCTTGCTGTGGACTTGGCCCCAACAGGTGAATTCTGAGCTCAGTTCAAGCTTTCAAAAAGAAGGGAGAATTTACATGTTGCTTCTCTTTCATTTTTTTGGTGTATGTTCCACAGTTTTTGCCCAGCTTTTGCAGAAAGAAAACAGAGCACCGATGAGTTGGTGTCTCAACCAGAAGCTATAACAGGCCTGGCACAGGCCAGGGCAGACACACCTGTATCTGCAATGCTACAAGCCGGACAACAGCTGTGCTGAAGGGCAGAGGTGGCGAGAGATAAGGGCTGAGATGAAGAAGGGGTAATCCGTCAGCCACACTGGAGGGTCCTACCACTCCCATCACCTGCAATACAAACAGAGCACATCACCACAACTGACTGCTTGCAGTTTCATCCATGCCATATCCTCCAGCGCCAGTGAAATGGAGGGGCCTTCCATTGAGCACTGAGTTGGGGTGGCTCTGAGAACCAGCCCCCCCAGTGGTCCTTGCAGGAGCTGGGGCCAGTGAGGAGGAGTTCTAGCAGGGAAAGGGAGGGGAGAAGAGGGAACCAGCAAGGATGGGAGGAGTGCACAGGTAACCTGGTACATTTACAAATGTACCCAGTACCAACCCTGAATGACCAGCACTGGACCAGTGGAACAGTTAGAGTTGGAGGATATGTCATGTAACGACTGTAAAAAATAAAAATATGTCATCAAAGCAAAAAGTCTGCATTGAAACTGGACATCTTTTCCCTTCTCTTGCTGATCTGCTGGAAAAATAATGTCCTAAGTCTGACCCAAGCCGGGTTTTGCACAATGTTCAGATTCCTCTCAAGCACAGTCTGTTCTTAGGAACTCTGTGATTCATCTCACTTGACCCCAGATGTCTCAAGCAGGGTCACCTGCATGTGACCTGGTTGTCTGGAAGTCCCTGAAATATCAACACAAGAAAATAGCACTTCTAGGGGAAAGTTACTTGAACCATTTTGGATGTGTCCCTCAGGAGGCATTAAATCACAGGCCTGCATGTGCCTGTTTCTCTCCGTGACTAGACGCATCTAGATGACGGGAACATGGAGAAGCTACCTGGAGATGAATGCACTCTATTTTTCCAAATCCACCTGGGGAGAAAGGAAGTAACCAGTTTTCTGCCAGAAAACCGAGGCCAATTTAGAAGGGGAAGAGGCAGAGCCCTTTCTTTGTATCACCATGCATTATCATTTAGATATTTCCCTGCCTTCCTGGCTGACCTCTTTTTGGGCTTTTTAAGGCAACTGGTCTACACATGATACAGCATGCTGTGCTCCCGCAGCTCACAGGGGCCACAGTTCTGACAGCTAAAGGTGAAATACTCAGTAAACAGTCAGAGCACATCTTTTCCTGGTAGCTCTCCCTGATGTTCCCAGCCAGCTGAACGTAAGCATGATGACTGCACTTCAGAGCTTTCTGCTATTTTTAGAGCACTGGCTAATTCTTATTGCAGGCCCTTTGGAGAGCTTTCTGGTGTGATTCACTCTGCCGTGCCTGCTTGCCAAACTGCAAGCCCATTCTAAACTTGTATTTGAGCTAATTCTGTAGCAACCTTCCCCATGCAGCAACCCTCATTAGTCTGAAGGCCCACATTTGCAGTGCCTCCAAGTATCTACCTCTGCTTGAACAAGGGAGAAGTCTTATGAACTCTGACAGCTGGAGCTTCCCTGCCCTTGCAGCAGTGAGTGCTCTGTGGGCTTGAAGGACAAGAGCCTGGCAAAAACTGATATTGCATTTTAACAGATGATCATTGTTTTTAAAGCTCCTCAGAGCACTGGTGAACCCCAGGAGGTTTTCTGTTACTGCTAGAAAAAGATATAGCATTTATGTTCTAAAAAGAAAATGTTATAAAACCCAATAACAATAAAAACACTAGTGCAGCCTTTGCTCCTTTATTTGTATTTTTTCCACATGGAGTGTCAGTGTGCATGGTTGTTCAAACAGGTGGAGTTACACTGATATCAGATCGAGGGTTTGCCCCCAGTGTAACAGCTGCAGAAACACTACAGCCTATCGCTGAATGAGCAGACAGGCTCTGTCTGTATCACATCTCTTTTGTAATAAATATAGGAGCGTAAATTCTTTTAAGAGTGGGATCTGAACATTGTACAGCGCAAACCTGCACTAGATCAAGCCAGGGACATTGCAAACAGTGGCATGAATCCACCCACGTAAACCCTCTAACTAGCCAGCACCCGATGGCCTCTGACAGAGCCGTCGGGGTCCTTCCCCACTGGGGACGGTAGGTATCCCCAGTGCCACCCGCTCCCCGTCTCTCCCAGGTGTGTGCAGTCTCCACCACCCCACTCTCCAACTTGCAGCCCTCAACTCTCAGCTCAGTCTGGCAAAGGTGGATCTTCAAAGTGGTGCGTGGGAAGCGACGGAAATAAATCGCTCGACCACCGCTACAGGCCACTGTATCTCCCCATGCACCACTTCAAAAATGAACCTTGCTATCTCTAGTGTCACTTGCGAAGTCCCCTTGCAAGGGGTAAGGGGGACAGGTAAAATGACAGGAATGGGAGTGAACTGTCATCTTCAGTCCAGAGAGAAGTCAACAGCAAAGGGGAGGTTTAGCAAAGGTTCACGGGGCCGCCGCTGGGCTACTCACCAGATTGACACACACATTGATCAGAGACCTAAGGTGAGGCAGGAAGGATATGATAGGCTGCTTCTGAAGCGTCAAACAAACCCCTTCAATCAAATTGCTGGCAGGCTCCCACTCAACCTGGCGCCTGCAACACAACAGTAGGAGCCGTTAGCCGCGGGCCTCCTGCCCCCCACCAGACGCTCACAAACACGGCGACCGACACACAGTGACGCCCACAGAGGAAACGGTTCAGACAGCAACGACGTCCGAGGTGAGCACAAAGTGCGCGACAGAAGGAAAGGTGTTACCCACGCAGCTCAGAAAGCACAGAGCCACAGAGCACACTGGGCGTTTGAGAGAGACGAGGAATGTAGCGGAGGGGTCTGCGCCAGCGACACAAACCCCTCGCAGCAGCGGTGGTGGACGAGCTGTGTGTCACTTCCTGACACTTCCCTCCGCCAGATGGTGGATGAAAGGCAGCCACCAGGCAGCTGTCTCAGGTGTGCCCACGTGGGGAAAGGTCTGCTGTGCCCTGCTCCCTGCTGAGAGCCACTCCTCATCTCCTGGGGCTTGTGGATGCTCGCTGAAGGGAACAAATCTCACCAGCTGGGAGTGCCCACTGTAAGCTGTTTTGCAGTCTAGCCTGCTCTGCCAGAGTGACTCCCAGACAGTCTGCCCTACATATAAACTGGCCCTGCAGTACAATCTTTACCTTCCTCACCCTGTGCAGGAGGGCTGATTCATTCCCTACCAGCACCAAAGTTCTTCATTCCAGGATTGTTTCTTCCCTGACACTTTGCTTTTTTCACCAAAACAGCTTTTAGGGCTTGTGACAGATGCTGAATGGAGTCCTTCCTAATCATAAGCAGAGACAACATAGGTAACATCAAAGTGGTTCACACTCTTCATCTCCTGACCCTTTGGAGTAAGCATAGTTCTCAAGCCAACACATGACTGTGCAGTTACTGGGACAGAAAGACAAGGCTTCCATCACTCATTAGCTCAAGACTAAACAGTTAAGCTCTACAGCGGAAGTTTTAGAGACACAGGGGTGATCAAGTGTTCACTATGTAAGTTCTTATGCAGACCAACATGCATCACATCTTTCAGCATCTGCTCTTCCTAAATCTCCAGAGTAGTAGTTTGTTCTCCTATTTGTACACTGCTACTATCAAACCCTGGTTTTGGAGCAGGGTGCAGGAGGCAGCATGTAAGATTCTGATGTGATACCCCAATGGATGGTTCCTGGGGTCTGGCACCCAGCCTCGTCTCTAAGATGTTTGTTGGCCCAGTTATGTTTAAATGTAGTTGCTGCATTTGGCCCAGTGACTTTGCTGTCTATCCCTTTGTGTACAGAAGAGCAATTTCAGCTAGGCATAGGTACAGGCAGAGACAGAGAGAATATGAAGAGAATTTTAATTTATGAGCATTCATTCAGCTTACACAAAGAGGAAAGTTCTTCCAGAACAGGAAAACCCCTAAGCTGACTTTGAGGCAGAAGAAAGTATGAGCAAGAAAAGAAAGAATGAGCAAGAAGCAGGCAAGACATGGCAAAGAATCAAACCAACAGGAAGGAGAAGCATCAACATTTCTGCCTCTAAATTCCCTACAAGGGCAGGAGTTGCTTAAAGCAGATTGTTAGCCAAAGGAAAGTGATAGGTAGTGATGCCAGAAAGAAGAGATCACCTCCCTGTTATTTGCTCCATCTTAGTTGAGTACATGTGATTCCCACCGGGACCTAAAGTTTTGCATCTGAGTCCTAAATTCTGATGTTTTCTAACATCATTTGGCTTCTCAGCTGAGACTGCCAACGAAGTGACTGATTCAAGCAGTTAAGGACATATGCCATGAGGGTGACTAAGACCAATGACTCTTTTTACTCAGATCACTGGAAAATCTGCAGGGCTGGGAGATTTTACACTACCCAGAGTGGATTTGTATCACTGCCTCTGGGGTGCGAATGCTCCATATTGAATATTTGTTGAAGTCACCAAAGCCTGTACCGTAATGCTACTATGTGATGCACCAGGCTTTCACTAGCCACTGACTAGATGTAATCGATGCAGTTCTGCTCCCTTTACCAAGGAGCATTCAGAAGCTACTGCATGGCTCCAGACTATTTTTATCTTTATAGAGAACATAACAGTATTTTCATGAGAAGGCATGCTGGAAATACTCTTACTAAAGTTTAACTTTCCATTAAAAAATAAAATTAATCTCCTCAACTCACAGCTAAAATAAACACAGAGGGTAGTGAGATGGTACAAATCTGAAGACTTATCTTGGAGAAAGAAAAATGAGATTTCTGGAAGTTCTCTCTCTGTAGTTCTTAATAACCATGCATTTCCTTTCTTGCTACCAGAAGACAAAACAAAAATGTCAACATAAATGCACACTTACAGAGATAAAAACATCTGTTCATTTTTTTATAAGTTGTAAAAATTCACTGCAACATGACAGTTTGAGTTGAATGACATACCCACACTTCAAGGCTTGCAACATCAGAAACGGACCCCCGAGGGTTTCCATTATACCTGCTCACCTCAAAGTAGGCATCTTGTGAATTTTATTGAACATACGATCCAATCTCTTTAAGATGAGGATAAGGGCAGGTCTCACCGCCTCAGCTGTCCAGTCAGTGATGGGCAGCATCTCCATGATGTAGCGCCGGAGACCTCGGCTTTCCATCGTCTGCGTGTCATAAGGTGCGAGTTTCAGCAGGGAATGTGCGATTTCTGCCAATCTAAAACCAGAGGTTGTGAAGAGGAAAATCAGACACAAGTTGCATTTCTCCACACATACCAATGAATTAATAGATAACTCTTCAGCAACATAATAAAAAGAAAAAGATGCAAAAGTCAGATGTGCTGCTATTTAAACTCTTCGACCCGATACCACAGTTCCTGGTCTGTTAAGATTCTTTTGCTGGAATCATTATTTATGTTTATGTACACATGAATGGTCTAAAGAATACTTTTACATTGATATGAAAGGCACCAAAGGAACATCAGGAATCACGGATTTGTGTAGCTAAAAAAGTACCAGAGCTGTTAGTAAGATTACAACTTTGCAAATGCCTATGAAACACAGACCTGACCTCACCTGTATGTCAATTAATGAGTGATTTGGTTTGGGTTTGTGCTTTTTCTTCAGTGTCACCACTTTAAGAGTTCTCACCATGCAATTTTCATGTATTAAATTTTAAAAATAAATGTGCCTCCCTTAGGTTTACACAACATGCACTTTGTATGATTACTCCCTGCAGCTTTGTGTTGTTTCTCCTAGCACATCTACAGACTGTGTTGCTGTTGCTTCTTCTAACCCTCCCAGATGGCCTCACCGATGGAATTTTCTGCATTGACTGTGAAATACCATGGTAACATTTAACTTACACTTGCAGTTTGGGAAAGACCTGCTGAAATACTTTAATAATTGCAGTAGACAAAGACAAGTAATAAAGCTACATCTACTAATAAAAGGAATGTAAACCTGTATACTCCCTGAAACATCAATAGACTTTGTAGTGGACGATTACAGTACAATCTTATCCATATTGTGGGGGCTTCTTCAGAAATGCCTTCAACTAGTGGAACGTATTTCTATTCTCGTTAAAATCTGCATAGCAATGTCAAGGGCAATGAGTTCCTCAGATTAACCAAAAGTACTATAAAAGTGTTTCTTTATCCAGTATTTCATTATTACTTTTTAAAACTACTTTGTCCTGCTAGGGAGGAGGTCTCTTTTCTCAAACACTGTGAAATTTAAATTATCATATAATTATACTTCTTTCTGGCAATACAATATCAGTGACACATAATGGCATATGAAAACTTTCTTATGCATTAGAAAGTGTGAGATCCATCTCATCCAACCTGAGACATCAATCTCAATTAATCTTCTAGCTCCGTTCGTGCAGAAATAAGCAACCTGGGAAATTATTATCTTTCTGAAATACTGGGATAAACAGCTCATTGGATGTGCCTCTCCCTTTTCATTGGGTCCAAAAAGATCTTTATGACTTTTGCAGACTAAACATTTAACTTTTAAATGGCTAAAACTGGGTGAGATGAGTCCTGTCTGAAGTGACTAACTAGCATATTATCTTGTCTTCTGAAGTCTCTGAAATGGCATCTATCAGCCTCCCAGAGCCATGGCTGTCACATCACATTACAGTAAACCTGCTCTCTACTTAGAAATTCTTTTTTTCCTACAGTGATTAAATCCTGTCAGTCATTACACTGATACTTATAAAATGAATTGAATTTGTGTAAGAATCAAGACAATGTTCACTTTTATTTAGGTCTATCTGTGATAAAGCAATTCAGGTTCCAACCACAATAAACCAGTTATTTGCACTACTTTCCTGGAGACATAAGAGAATCAGCGCACAACACATTCGCTTCTGCAAATGAAACCCTTACTTGTACTGCTGTAACCTTTGACCATGAAAGGCATTCTCTCTTAAAAAGAATGCAGTATTTGCCAGCTACTACTGTGTACTGTGACTCTGCTTCACAGAAATCTCACAAGAAAATATCTTTCTGTTGCCCTCCTTGCTTGTTAGCAGCTGGTTCTGATGCAGTGTCACAGGAGAGGATAGGAAGGGCCATACTCAGCCAGCTAGGGAGCTTCCCCACCCCTTGCCCTGCAGAGGCAGCCTTATCTGCTCTGCTCCTCACTGCAGTTTATTCTGATGTATCAGATGGGTTTTCACGGGGCTATTTCATCGACTGGAGATGGGGGTCTGAACGAGACCAGAGGAGAGCATGTGAAACCTTCCTTATACACAAGCAGCATGGGGTACAATCTAAGGAACATCCAAAACAGGCTCTGCATGTTTCAGACAGCAACATGCAACTACACTACCAAAAAGTGACTCTGTTTGCTATTATGAAAAATTAAGAGCAAAAAGAAAGGAATCCCCCTGAAATGAACAAGTGAAAGCAGAATGCCAGTGGAATACCTCATGTGAGACTTCACATCCAGTAGCTCCAGAGAAGTCACTCGGGGCTCGCCAGCCAGATTCTGCAAAATCTTCAGCCTCGGACCACAATGCTTGTAAAACTCTGTACAGATATTCAGCAAGGACTCCCGCGGTCTCCTAAACTCCTCTCTAGCAATGCGCTCATCCAGCTCCTCTCGGGGAAGACCCTGGCCCTCCTCCAGTAAGTGAAGGTTCTCCCTGGAAGAAATGAAAAAAGTAGGAATTGTTATATGCAGTGGAACAGCAGAGATAAATTGTAACAACCTCTCCATCTTGATTTTGCAACAGATGCTTTCCTCTGGAACTGAAAAGAAAGATAGTTGGCTGCATGTGCAAGAAAAAAAAGGGGGAAATTATAATCTGCAAAGTCTTGTTAAAAATGTAAACAATTTCTATACGAACTATTCTTTGCTACCCTCCCCTGAAAAAAAGTTGCCTGTCCCAGCAATGGCAGATGGGACTCAATGAACGTGGAAACTGCTGAGGAACAGGTCATCACATGGCAGGGAGGACCGGGCAAAGATTTTACTGTACCTGATAAAGTGTAGTTTGGCTCCCTGTTCTGGGTACCTGGGAAAACAGAAACAGTGCAGCTGTAAACAGCAACTTAGTAATGCCTAAACTGTGCATTTCTGAAAGAAGGCGACATTGTTCTAGCCCAGGAGTATACTCAGCCATGGGCAGGATGCTATCTTGTGCCAGGGGAACAATGGCTACACATAGTGACCACACTGAATAGGCTTTACCTCCCAATTGGCAGCAAACAACAGGTTCCTATACTTATTGCCCTTGTAATGAACGGAAAAATTCAGGCTTAAAAACCACAGCCATCTTTCAAGCAATTTCTCTTACTGATTTTCACCCCAGTGCTCAAGTCTGTTTCATGAAGCCGGAGCTCACCTAGTGGAAAGAATACCTCAGAGTGTTTGTTTTGTTTTGTTGTCATTTTCTCTCACTGCTTCTTGTTGAGAAAGCATTAGCAAACCCTGCAGCACTTGGCTCACACGTCCAAGGCTGGAACAGTGATCATTCTACCATCATGAGACTCCTGCTGTTGCTAGCAAATGTCTGTTGTAATAATAACACAACAGAAGAAACAAGGGCAGGAAACTTGGAGCACTGCAAAAATATTTTGAATCAGAGACTGAATGTTTGATAATCAGAAAGATGTGGAACTATAAACCAAGATGATGTTTAAGTCACACAGCATCAGGAGTCTGTGTTGCCTGTCAGCAGATACCTATTAACTGCTCTCCAAAATCAGCTGAGAAATAATAAAGCACTACTTTCCATGACACCTTATGTTGCTGAAACTGGGCAGTCTTGCAATGAAAGTAAATGGCATATATCCACTTCAGGCTTGAGCATGAAGGTGTTTATCTGCTTCTCAGACCCAGGATTGAAAGTCAAAACTGTGTTTCATCCATGCCTGCATTGGTCTTAAAGAATAACAGATTGATTCCAGGAGCTACTAACCCAGATGTGCACTACAATCTATAAATTGACATAATAGCGTTTTGATGATCCATGCAGAGTGCTTTCTATCTCACTTCTATACAAAGAATACAGGGAATAACTTGGAAAGCATGCCTTCCCAGAAGGGATACTCCTGATTTACAGTCCTATGCAGCCCATGGTATTGTACTAGACTGTTGGCTCTGCACAGACTTACTATCAGCTGTTACAGACAGAAATTGTAGTCTTGAGGATTTTGGTTACTGTCAGAAATGTAGTCCTGGGCTATGTGCTCTTTTTATCTGACTGTTTTCTCTCATAGTACCTAGAACACTTCCTCAAACAGCTGAGGAAGGGCTCCAAGTACTCTGAGCAATGAGACAGTACCTTATGCAAAAGAAAATTAAAAAAAAGTGGTTTAGAAAAATGAGAAAGAAAGAAGATCCCACTGCCTTACCTGGTGTTCACACCTGCTGACATGGTGTGGTTTGCTGTTGTGGTCCCTTTATGGCCTTGGTCACATCGACTCATCTGTGGGGCTGTCATAGGCCTGTCAAAGGGAAGGTGAATAGCACACTAAAGACTAAATCCGACAAGTGCACTGCCATTCTGCTTGTGATCTGGTGAAATCTGGCACTGATGTTACCATGACTAAGACCCAGCCACTATTCAAGCTAAGTTCCATATTGTGACCTCCTGCGCATTCCCTCTCCCCAAACTGACAACCAAGGGCAGGCTTAGACCTTTGAACAATGCGGGTTACCTGGTGAGAACTTCGACGCTGTACAAGAGGGCCTGCAAGGAGGTGGCAAGGGCAGCCATGGCAGCGATCTCCTCACGAGCTGCTGTTGCAGTCTCCACTTGAGACGTCTGGTGCTTCAGTTTCTGCAAGTAACAGGGAACCAGCGCTTCCAAGACCATCAGCATCTGGAGGCTAGAAAAATAACCAATGCTTCAAGTGTTGTATTTTGTCAACCCTGAAACTCACATCAGGCAGAGGCTGAAGCTTCTATCTGAAGACACATGGATCTCTCATTAGCCTTGTGGTTTCATTGCTTCTCACTAGATAAGCAGTCCTGGGCCAAAGAAACTCTTGAGTCAGGGACATCAGGGGGAAAATTAGCTGATGCATGAAACAGTAACAATAAAAACAACCCAGACTTCGGGATATCTTCTGAATGTCATCCATTTGCAGACATTCATTTTCCATTCCAAAGAGTCCCTTCTTCTCTCGTTCCCTCTTGGAAACAAGCTTTTTTGCTTTACCAGACTACCTCCCCTCTCTCTATATCTTCCTGTTATTCCCAGATGCCTGTTTCTCCCCCTCCAGTTCCCTCTCCATTGTCTCTGACAGCAGAAACCTGCAGGACACAGTGTGATCCCCACCTGGAAATACAGCTTACATGTTTCTGCTCACACTGCCATCCAAGCTCAGTGCTGCAGCTGGTGACTGGCAGGATTTGGAGCCTAGGCCCTGGGAAAGATATCAACAGGCAGAAGCTTGGCCTCACGGAGAAGCCCCATGCTTGGAATGCATTTCTAAGATTCTCTGCCTCCATTTTTCTGCCTTGCTTTCACACGCCATTTACAGCTTTGATGCCTTTTGTGAGTCTGCACAAACCAAGAAAACAGATTAGCACCTTCTGAATGATTCAGGAGCATAGGCCACCACTGTCACACACAGCTTGATGGCTTCGCTGATCGAGAAGGTCAAGTCTTCATTCCCATAGCAGAAGTCTGAGGGAGTAAAGCAATATGAAGACTATCACACAAACATACTGCATATGAAAGGAGCTAGCACACTCCTTCCTTTATCCCCTTTTCAGTTGCTTGCTTCTCACAATAACAATCTCCAATAGGCTCTTGATTTTTGACAAAAATCTGTCTACAAAAAGGAAACATACGCTGTACTCCCACTTGCACCCTGCTGTCCAAGAACTCAGTAGCTGAGAAACAGTTCTCAGTAGGTCAAATCACTGCTGAGCATCAGGCTTACTACAGCTGCTACTGGAGTCCGTTTCAAATATCACCCATAACAAGAAAAATCTTAAGCTTATACATGACAAGGACACGTATCAACTTCAGCACAATTTTTATGCTCCCTCTGCTTTTTCCTACATCTTTCCACTGCTCTAAAAATGATGCTGATACACCACTAACGGCAGAAGATGGTTTTCCTTCTGAAAAATCAAGCCCCTTCTATACTGGTAGCCCCACGGGCATCAGTACAAAAGTGAGTCTGGTTTGCTAGTGATTTGAGAGAAAGTTTTCGAAAGCATTTAAGTCTAATACTACAAATATTACCTTGGCGATAATTAGTGCCAGGCACCAAGAAACTGAGGTATCAAAAGGATACTATTTGTAATACAAGTATAGTCCCATTTTCAGAAGTGACTTTGGTATACAGGAGGCCAAGTCAAAGTTAAGGTCTCAAAGCATGTAAATCACTTGGAACAATGGAACTTGGAAGTCAGATGTTTTAGATAATTCTGATCTTCGTATGGAAAATACCAGGCACATGACATACACTCTCATTGTCAACACACACTTGGGAATTTTCAGAGATGCCATTCAATAACCTCCACAGAAAACCCAAAGCTTTTCTATAAATGTTTACTACAATCCACAATGAGGAAGAAATATCTCCCAGTTCTGTACCATTTTCTATTATAACTTGTGATATAATTGTGCAGGACCAGAAAATCCTAGTATACCACAAAGGCTAGACAGGCTTCACAGTTCATCAAAATCAGTATTATCTAAGGGAAGAGCAAATTTGGAAAATAAGTTGAAGATCCTTATAAAAATCAGCAAAAATTACTTCCCTGCAAATCACAAAGCAGCCAAAATCTTAAATGCTTTATTGCATGAATAGCCATCAAGAGATACAGTGCCCTGGATACATCATACAGCCGTATATATTCTGCTTTGTGATAAATTAATTCCCCCTCTAGAACTCAGCACTGCTGGATGTCTGAATGGCATCCACCATTTACTAGTCATAGTCTGCCCACGGGAGAGGATGCTTTTGTTTCCTGCCCACATGGAGCAGAGGAGAGGATGACACTGATCTTGTCAGCATGATACAGTTTATTAGGCATCTTTATTCTTCACCCACACATGATAAAATTCAAAATGCCAGGGGCTACTCTCTGATTAGCAGCCTCAAAGCAGAAAAAGTAGCTTTAGAATAAAATAAATTAATATGTCCCTTCCTGCAGAAAATATCAAAAGGATGGTGTTGATAAAGCCAACCTTAAAAGCCTCATGAGGCATAAGAAACAAATGTGACTGCATTCTGGTAGAAGAAAAGGGCCCTGAACAAATCATGCTGCATCAAATGCATGCTGAATCAATAAACAACAAACCAGAATTACTGAATAAAGTGAGCTTTGCTGTTACCTAATGACTTGAGAGGCTTTTCTGCTTTTACCAGCTCCAAGATGTCCAAAATGTCTGGAGTATCTCCCTCTAAAGACTGCAGCAGGTCAAACAGGCACTGAGCTGACACTCCTTTCCCGGTTCCATTGTTTGTAGCATCCTGTTTCAACAACAGACAGTCGTGACTGATTTTCTGAGAACCTGTGTGCGTTCCAGGAATCTTTATCTGGAGATGCGGGCAACCTTTTTTTTGACAAAGGGCCCACATGGAGTTCAAGAGCTTACTGCTATTGAACAATAAGCTTTGTCTGACTCAACAGATGGAACAGTGGAAGCATGATCTGAAAGCTACACACAGCTTTACTTCCTAGAAACAGCAGATCTTTGCTGTCCTGTGAAGGATAAAGATGTGTGCACTTGCCGTATAAGTGCAGTTAGATGTAGCAGTCACACTTCAAATTAAAATTCCATTGACTTGCTTTAACTCACTAAAATGTTAAAAAGTAATTAGTGAATATTTCAAAACATGTATAATCCAGTCTTATAGTTCCTATGTACTAAAACTTGGCATTAAGCTTTTAGTTCCTATTGCTGGATTCTAAGAAAGGATTTGCATTTCAAGTGTTACAAATCATTATTGTCCTTTTACAACCTATTTATACACAGAAATGTAAAGTGAAACCGCATTTACTAGCCTGGATACCAGTGGCCCAGCACCCTGCTCAATCAGCTGATGAACAGAAAGATGCAGAAATAAGTTCAGGAATGGGTTCTGTGCAGCACCAAGTGCGGGAAGCATATGTTCAATAAGAACTGTGTTGCTGCTCCAGCTGCTTGCTCTTTGTGCTCTCTGCTGAGGGGCTGGCTGCATACACAGGCTTCCCCACACTGAGACTCAGCTTTGAGCTTTGAGTAAAATGAGCTTTGAGTAAAATGGCTTTTACTCACAGGGAACTCCAGGAGAGGGGCCACACTTGCAAACAGCTGCAGAATAAAGGGCTTGCGATGCAGAACGTAGAACTGGCGGCATGCAAACTCAATTGCTTGGCGTAACTGTGGATTGCTTTCATAGTCAGCGTATACCTGAGCAAATGAAAAAGGACATGGAAGTATTCAGCTACAGTCTTGTCATTCCTGATACATTTGCTTAACATCTTCAAAGATGGAGACTTGTCCATCCTCCTTGGCAAGGCATTTCAGGGACAAACTATCCTTTGAAAAAAGGTTTGCTTGTCACTCTTGAACATTCTTTGCCACTGCTTCAGTCCATTATTTTTTGTCCTATGTATTCTCTCCTCTCCTTCCTAGAAGCACTTGACTTGTTTGAAGCCATTAGTGCTTTCTTTCTCAATCTTTTTCAGTTAATCAAATCCTATCTGTTTTAGTCCTTCTCATGTGACGAGTTTTCTAGGTGTACATCCCTGCTCCAGTCTGCAGTCTCTTCAGTTAACTGATGTTTTTTGTGCAGTGCCCGCAGCTGGACAGAGCCAGCACTTCAAGTCAGGAGTGCTGCTGATTGGAGCAGCAGAATTATTCCATATTTCTTTCACAAGACAGAAACCTCTATAGTCAGCCCAAGAATGGCATTTGAGATATTTTCTTTTTCTTTTTTTATCCTTCAACACTGTTGATTCATATTTAGCTTCAGATCTGTAACAGCTCCAATATTCTGTTCTGCAGAAGTGCTACTGGATCAACTACTTTCCCTTCCATTTTTATGTGGCTGATTGTTTATTCATAACTAAGGACCTACGCTTGTCCAACTTGATCAACATAATCTTTATTTTTTTTCCTTTTTCAGACTGCACCTCCAGTTTGTCAAGATAATTTGAACTCCTAGCCTGTCCTCCAACACACTGACAGTTCCACCCACTTTTAAGATATTTTAAGGGTTTTAGAGTGGCATTTCCTTCAGGGCTGGCCACTGACCTGTGCAACCAATGTGTTGCCAAAGATGTGGGATTTGTTTCTCAGTTATATAAACAGTATACATTGCTAGGAACAACTTCACTCTGCTTCCCTCTGTCCGTTTCTGCACTTCTCTGTTGGTACAAGTCTGTGGGAGGTTTGGGGTTGGGGTGGGCAGGATTTTCTTGCTATTTGCTGGCAACAGGTAATGCTGAGATTTTATTGTAGTGCAAAATTCACATTACAGCACAGGGTTCTTGAAGGTTTCTAAAAAACTATTAGTGTGTGAGACCTCTGCAGATATGTATTCACTCCTCAGTAGCCTAGGAGGCTGGAGAGATTAAGTCTTTACAACAATCAGAAGCCTCTACCATGCTTATGAGGACAGTCAGTCACCATGGCCTGTCACACTGGCAATATCTCATTTACTTGAGAAAAAGGAAATAATTAACTGTATATGCATTTTGTCAAGGAAAGAGGAAAAACCTGCAACAAAAAGAGCCCAGGGCAGGGTATGTGCATGTGTGCATCAGGAATTAAGCGATTAATGGCTGGTTCAAGCTCAGAAGTGGTAGAATAATTTGTTTGCAATGGCCACAAGGGAACCAGCTGATCTTGGGTGCCTGGAACAGAGGTGCAAGTGTCTGCAAAAACAAATAAGCTCAGCAACACTTGGGTTTTCTTTTGGAATTGCTTTTTGGGTTCTCATGAGTGATATTTTTTTAATTTAGTAGTTAGCAGTAATTGGGGGAGGGGAAGAGAACTGCAAAATTAATTTCTCTCCGTATGAAAAGTGAAAATGAAGGAAGAGTCCTTCACAGGACTGAATGGTTACTGCCAAGTACTTCAAATTAAGTTATTTTATTTTAAAATGTCTTGTTTCTAATGAATGAACCCCTGCACTGCAGACCTGGATACAATACATACTTACCCGACCACGTAAGGCATGATATTAGAGTTTCCCGTTACTGAAGGGTTTGTTTACATAGCTAAATTCATCACTGGTCCTAATTATTGTGCTCTGTTGACTATGTTAAAATGAACATACATAGGGATGTATGCTGCTTTTACAGAAACAATAGTTTCTTCTGTATTTGCATTGTAATATTAAATCTCTATTTAGATACTGCCTTTGAGCCCTGCAGAAATAATCTTTTTGTCTCTAAAAGAACTATATTGGGTTCTTATTTTCAGTATCTGCTTTTTCCCAAATCTCAGCATGAAAAAAGGCATACTTGTACATCTCAAAGTGAAGAGAAACTCTACCTGTAATACAATATTTGTCATCACTTGCATGAAAAGACAAAATACAGTTTTTCATAAGCACTTAATTTTCTGTTGCTATTTAAATTGCAGATAACATAATTATCATACTTAAAGAAGTCAATATAATATAGTTTCAATCAGCAAGTAGCAAATCCAGGTATTTCAACTATTCCCCAAATTTCAGCCATCCCTGGATGAAAAAACACTGAGGGAGACCCAAATTCCAAAAATCTTCCAGAAATTTCACATTTCTGTGTGGAAGTGCATAGCAAGGGAAACAGATATTCATTTATTTACCATAAAGGAGAAAATAAAATGTAGTAATTTACTCAAGAAGAAAAGGGAATGTAGCCCGAGGAATGCTGATTTGGGCCATCTCACCCTGATCTGTTGTTTGTCTTCTCAGGACCCCCCAAATCTGTGAGCTCACCAGGACTCAGCAGTTTAAAGTTTCCCCATTAATAGTCAGTTCTATAACAAAGTGCTTGCTCTGAAGTCTTCCCTCATCTTATTGTTCCTGGAAATGGCTCACCTGCAACATGCTGGGGAGGACCCACTGGTACCCGCTGAGGGAGAAGAGGTGGTTAAAGTGCACAGCTGTGTTGATGACGGTGGCAGCGTACTGCCTCAACAAGGCACTGTCCTCAGGGTGCAGGATCAGGGCACCGTTGAAGACGTTCAAGAACAGCATGATCTCATCCCCCCAGGGGAACTCGCTGGGCATGCCAAGGAACATCTCCTCCAGCAGCTTAATCCACAAGCTTTTCTGAAGAGTGTCCAGACCAAAGAGCTCTTTCCCAGCTGCAGAGGAGGGGCAAGAGCAATCAGCTTTGTCCACCACAGCCAGCCTCACAACATTCCCAGAAGCCAAAGGCCTCTCCAAAAAACCATCCCACAACACAGACCATTGTTCTGCCTTTTTAAAATTATTTCACCCATCCTGTACTTCTGGAAGCGCTCACAGGGCTTGAGCAAACCTTGACTGAAAGCAACACACATGAAGACGAAGAATGATGAATATCACACAGATCATTAAATCTGCTCCCCACTGGTTGGAAATTTCCCTCTTAAAAAAACAAAAGCACATGTGAGCTTACGTGCATCATCTGCCCCACAAAACCCAAATGGCTGTGTGGATTTTTGCCAAATTTTTATCCTTCGTTTCTAAAGCAAGTGCAGTGCTGCACAGAACCCTTCTGGACCCTGTGCAGCCAGCAGAGAAAGCTTTCAAAAGGCCATACCTTGGGGATCACTGAAGAGTGAGAACTCAGCATCAATGGCACTTCGGGGAAATGAAGGCAAGCGGAGGAGATCTTCCTGGAGCATAGATACATGAGACTGCTTGTGGGCAGTAGGGATTTTCTGTGTCAGCGATATGAGGAACAACACCCGCCCCACCTCTTCTAGCTTGCGGGTGAACACCTGAAAGAAAAAGAGCCAAGGATCAGAAGCAGCCTGATCAAAAAGTTCCTTACAACATATATGCACTTTTCTAGGTTAGCTTCTATGGCTTTCTCTGATGGGAGGGATGCTGCACTCATGGCCCAGAGGAACCTTCTGAAATTAATGGGGCTAGTGATGCACCCTGTTGCTAGAATTTGTGTGACCGCTGTTCTTCAGCCCAGCTCAGCAAAGATGGATCATGTTGTAGAAGGTTTTAACAACACTTTTTCAGGTTTGTTTTTTTTTTTTTTTTTTTCTTTGAACTTCTGACTGGTAGGACTGGTCAGGCTAGCTATTTTTTTTTTTTTATGCTAAAAGTAACCATGAGGCAGAGAGATGCTCAGCAGTAGAAGCAACTGTCTGTGGAAACAGTTTCGAGACAGCTTTTAGCTACTGGGATGAAGCCAAAACTTGAAGCATGTGGCTTAACATGTGACAAAGCTCAGTTCCCCAGGTCCTGCAGTTGCGGTGACCTTGCTCTGAAGAGCACTCAGCTTACAATTGGGTGCTCAATCAATCAACAGTAAAGAAAGCACTTTTCCATGGCTTGCTGCTCTGTGGGTAGACTCTAGAGTGCTGTTCTCTTTGCTGAAGCTAGATGTTGTCCAGCAACTTCTAGCGTGACTACAGAGAGGCTGGTAGATGAGTGATTTAAGTTTTACCTTAGAAAATTTTGGCCTCTAAGTACTCTAAACAGAAAAATGTTGAGTGTAAAATAATGCCCTGACAAAACTGGACAGGCCATATTTAATTCTTTGGGGTCCTGTAGAGCATATCAAGCTCGTTTATTTGATATGTGGGACACATCTCCTAGGACCACAGTGAGAATAATTTCTGCCAGAGAAGCAACCAAAATGATCCCAAGTCATTTCAGATTTTTATAGACTTTCTATTGACAGATGCAGCACATGAAATATCTCCCTATTCTGTACTGTACACACATGAGAGAGCATTAACTATGTTCTCCATTATTTTAGCTGCTAGTCCCTCTTAAGCAGCTTTACAGCTGCTTTTTATAACCATTCCTGATGATATTTTCCTGTCCCAGCACTCACATTGCCAGCAACACAACTACAGTAGCTGCTTTTTGGCTAGAATAATGCAACTGTTAGTACCAAACTCATACAGTTTAACCACATTCCCTCTCCTTTTTTATTTCTACTGCTGTGCCTCTGGGAGTAGCTATGGCAAGACTAGTATCTGAGAGCAGGACAAGGAAGAGAGGCAGGTAACATTCTTGACAGTGAGAAGACAGAGAGGAAGATAGAATGCAGAATTCCTGCTCCACAGCCAGACAGACTTGAGAAGAAAAGGTCTTAAATGGGTTCCTAAAGAGCCAGAGGTCATGTTAAAGAAAGGAATAAGCAACTTTTGAAACTGAGGCAACTGGAGCTCTTCTGGACAAGTGTAGAATGCAAAATGATCTACCTAAAAGAAGCTGACTAGAGAGAGCGGGAAGGAATTCACATTGCATTCTTTGACTCTTCTTAAAATACCATATGCCTGTCTGATGGCATCAGGGCAGATTTCGTGTCAATTGCTACTTCTCCAGGAAAACTCTCTATCTGCACACAGCATGAGTGAAGGACTTTAAAGGAAAAAGAAAGATTTCTTTACAGAGTTTGTTTCTGGGCAGAGGTGTTTGGTCACAGTAAGATACCTGCTTCTGAATGAGCTCTTGACCCTTTTCTGGATGCATCTGCACCAGGTTGAGCTGGGGAGAAACTGACCTCCGGAAAGGATAAATGTCACGGACGTAGGTCTGCCAGTAACGGAAAAAAGTATATTTTAAACAAACGGAATCATAACAGCATCACTCAACAGAACTGAATAAAAGACCCTTTAGCCCTTTCTGAAGCTTTTGGGCAAGGGCTTTCAGACAGTGTCAGGCATCATGGAAAAGCGTGAACAGAAGAGAAATTTGCTCTTTTCACTAGACATTAATGACTTAAGAGCAAGGGACTCCACTTCTGCTTCTTCCCTTTTCTGTCAAACTCCAATGTTTCATCACACAAAACTAAACACCCAAGATATGGTGCCCACAAGACAGAATTCTGTCTGTTTATGGGCTGCTTGTTCTCCTTATGATAATCCCAATGTTTAAAAAAGAATGAGATGGAAAGAACAAAGTCATCTGGATCTAACCTTTGCCTTACCTTGTTGTAATGAATAAGATTCCATCTCTTATCCATCAAAAAGTAATGAGAAGACTGTGTTTCAGGTATGTTAAAAAACTCCAAACACTCCTGAAGAGGAAGAAAAAAACCCATTCTGTTACTTATTAGCTGTCTTGTACAAAGACCACAACATCCAAAAGAAGAATATCCAGCTAATAATGTATAAAGGCACTAACCTGCATGCTGCCGTCAGGCTGGTACACTCTTCTGGCATTAATTGTTAATTTATTTTTTAATCATAAAGTACATGAATATGTTCATGATAATCAAGGTATGTTGATATCACAGTACTGAAGACTGATGTTACTTATTTTGATGTCTCCATATCGCATATATTTGTCTGGCTATATGAGCCACATGGGTATTGCAGCTTCCATTTCTATACTCAGTGTTTATCAGGCTTTAGTGATAGGTGATAAAGCACTGAGATGTGTGATTCCCATCAAGATTTAACACAGTCGGACAAACTGAAGGCTTTTACAAATGTGTTTCCTATGTGGCTCAGTTAAGTCCACCCAGGACATTTTTGGCAGAAGGGGGAACTGACCTCACATCTCCCAGATCCCAAGATATCATTGTGACTTCTGAACCATAATTTCTGCTCTGATCTTGGTCATTCTGTTTAGTCTCTAGTGTTGATAAAACCAAACATTTAAATGAGGTATGTGTTTATCCAAAGGACAACATGCAGCAAATACCCAACAAACTGCAGTGTCTTCAAATGTAGTTGCATTTGTGGGGTTTTGGCTGTCTGTGAGGTCAGGGCATTTCTATTATCTTTAATATGGAATCCTGTTTCTTCCAGACAGGCTTTCAGAACGAGACAGAAATGGCTGTTAAAGCAAAAATTCTCTCTCCCACACTGAAACAGGACGATCAGGTGGAATGTATTGCTGGCAGTTTGTCCATTCAAAAACTCACTCTTACCTTCAGAAGAGCCTCAAACTGTGTGTCCTCATGGACTGGTAACTGCGTTGGGATATCACATTCATTCTGTCCGTGCACGACAAGGGTCTTTGTGCCTGAAAGAAGAAAAGCAGTGACATTCTCACTGGCCTCTTTAATTAACTCAATTTCAAAAGACTGCCCATGAAGGAAAAGTGATAGCTAAAATTCACTCCTGGGCAGACAGACAATGCCGGTCCTGTCTGGAATCCATTATGTAGTGTTAGCATAGCCTCATGCTTCTACAGGTAATGAGAAATTGATGTGTTCCTAAAGGACTGAGGTGGCTTTAGCAGCAACTGTCACTCTGAGGAAGGAACAAACCTAAAAGGTCTAATCTGTTTTTCAGCAAGACATCTCTTGCCTCCCTCATGATGTCTTAGGCTCACAGTATGCTCTTCTTGGGCTCTCTCAAGACTTAAATGAGAGGCTGAATCAAATCCAACTGAGTCTGAGTAGGACAGTCTTACAATGATCATCCTGCCAGCCTTTCACAGCCCAGCTGGCACAAACCTCTGGGTTGAAAAGACTGTTCCAATTCACTTTCTGTTTGCTTCTTTTAGAGCTCTCAAGGTGGCTTTCTGAATCTCAGAATTAGAGATGGAATTTACTGACCGAAACCTCAACTCAAGGAAAACTGACTTAGAATATGCAGCCACTTGTAGCAGGCTTTCTTCTCATCCAGTTCTGATGGATCTCCTTTTCAGAAGAGCGGGTCATAAACTTGGAAGTGAAGGAGATGTAAAGGCTTATTTCTCATACCTGGCATTGAGGCAGTCACCAGCAGCTTCACTTCACATTGTTCCTTCTTCATAGTCTGTTTGAGATCCTTGAAGAACAGTCCTTCCACATAACCCACCACTTCCCAAAGGAAGGTGAGTGTGGCAGAAATGGCATCCATGCCCCATTCACATGGAGTGCGTACGAAATACATGATCAGTCCTACCTACAGGTAATAAGTGAGAGGAATATCAGGTTATACACGCTCTTACCTGTGCCGAGCATAGTATAAACACAGAATAAGAATATTGTTCTTCTACCTTTCTTCACTCAGAGGGATAAACTCATTAAACTTTCATCCTGAAAGTTTATACATACTACAGAGCAATCTGCCTGTACTATTCTTCCTTTTTCTAGAGAGGATGAGGCGTGGGGGCAAAAAGTACTGTTGCGGACCAGCCTTAAAAGCCACTGTAGATGAGGAAAAGGGAGAATCTCTTCAGTAAGAGAATTCTTGCCTTCTGCTCTGGTGTGCTGCCACATAGACAACTCAGAAACAACAAATGCTCCTGCAGTAGCATACATCTTGTCTGTTTTTTTATCTCCTGACTGAAAGAACTGCAGCAAATGCATTTCACACAGTCTAGAAAGAAGCTACTAAATTTGCTCCACTAGGACTGTCCAAGAGCAAAGCACTTTCTGAATAAAAATTAAGTAAAATAATTAAAGGTTTATGTCACTGGGATCCTTCTAGTGGTCTACAACTCATTGTCTGTGGTTCAGTTCAGAAATCCATGAGAGGGTGCTTAGGGGTTTAATAAAAATTTAAAGGTTCCTTTTTCTCTTTCTAGAAGGAATGAAAGGCTGGTGTAAGCCTGGTGACTTGCAACCGCAGCCAGAAGCAGATATGAGCTATAAAGGAAAAGTTAACAGCATTTATTTCCTTGCAGAGTGTGACAAGAACTTCTTAGGACACGTAGAGCCAGAGGGGAGATTCTGGGCAGCACAGTGGACCCACAAGCTACTCACCAAGTAGTTAAAGAGGATATGAGATGTCTGGGCAGGAAAGTCTCCAATGTTCAACAAAAGCTTCCTTAACATATACATCAGCTCATCCTGGAAGAAGAGCAAATGGTTTTTATTTCCCTCACAAAACTGAGAATGGATTTCTCCCTTTTGTCCTCCCTGGTCTTGTTTCTTCCCATTTTTCCATACTCCCTTGTTCAGCTCAGTCTCTTGGTGCATGAAGTAGAACTATATGCTTGTGAGTATTTCCACATTTCCCAAAATAAGGCCCAGGGCACAACAGCCAGGCCAATGTCTTTCTTTTTTATCTGAGAGAGGCCAACACCTCCTATTACAATTTGTACTGACTGTAGCGTCCTGATCCTGCACTTCTCTACCTGTGATAATCGCTGTGTTGCTTATCACAACAAATCACTACCTAGATAATCTGTGAAATAATAGTTCAGCTCAACTCAATAGCTGCGGCTGCTGAGTAGGAGGTGGGGACAGAATCTAACTTCCTTTAGACACTGCCTGCATTAAATGTAGACTAATACATTTCTTATGGTGGGAAGGGAGTGGAAAGGGGAAGGTATCTCACTGTCAGCTAACGACAAACAGACCATATCATAAATTTCTCCTATGGCTCTCATCCTCTTAACTCACAGCAGATTCGATCTAGCATTAGGGGCATGAATATGCATAGGACAATGATACATCTACTGAAAGCTTCCAAGGAGATACACCTGTTCTCCATGTTCTGTACTCATGGTTGTAGTAGGCTTATTAAGAGATGATAAAAGAGCAGACTATGCTAGCTCAGAGGCTGCTGAGGCTGGACAGTGTGTAGCTTCCTTCTCAAAGTTACTTAACAAACAGAAGCAACCTTCTGAACTTAAATGGAAGCTTTGGGGACTATGGCTGAGAAATCTCAGGAACAGTGAGGCCACTGAGACCTGATTACTCAAGGAACCAAAAAGCAGCCTTTCCTGGCCTTTCTTGAGGTTTAATATTAATTTTATAGTCTGTTCTTAGGTGGTGGCTTAGAAGATGAGGACAGTGATATTATTGACATTGTACACTGAGAGGCAGTTGAGAAAGTGGTATAGAGAGTCTCACTGCCATTCATTCAGTCAGAACTGGTGAGCCTTTCTTCCATAAAGCTTAGCCATAGCACTAGAAAACAGTCTAATAAGCCAGGGAGAGACAAGGCAACCCTCATCTTTCAGAGAAAGCTGAACAGTGGCATGGGTGAGGCAGTACTGCCTGTGTTAGATAGAAAGGGTTGTGCTTCCCTGAGCAGTTGTTTAAAGCTTGTCTTCAAGCAAGTCAGATCCTTTGTGCTGGTAAATCAGCTAAGTCCTGTTTACATGAGAGGACAGAGATTGAAGCCAACTGATGATACGGTCTAAAAGACTTTGAGTTATGTTATAATAGGAAATGTTCTTCTCCAGTGACGCATACGGAGTGATTCTGCTTGCAGCTGTGCTCCCCTCCTCTAAGCAATACATACGCCCACTGGGGAGAGGAAGAGCTTACCTGTCGGTTGCTGACTGTGAGCTTCTCGAGGAAATGGCGCAAAACTGTAGAGGGGTCTTCGATTAAGCAGTTCCACAGGACTTGCTGAGCAACAGCGCTTACTGTAAAAGAGAAAGAAAACAAAGTCAAAACGGTCTCCTTTGGAAAAGCCTTGAACTGGTACCCTTGGACGCAAACGTTCCTAACCCACCACAATTGTAATTTTTGTACTGAAATACACAGGACCCTCTATGAGACACTGGGATTCCTGGTCACCAGTGCAGTCATCTCAAGGAATAATGATAGGTGTAATATTTGAACCTTCCCTAGCTGCTGAAGACATAGCAGGAAGCACTTCACCACTGTAGTCAGAGAAATAATAAAGAAATAACTGTTTGGATTCACAATTCCAGATGGACAAATCTGACAATTAAAGAACATAAATTCATGTATGTTTTTTCATGCATAGCATTTACATTTCACGGTGATTCACTGTGTGATTTTATCTGATACTGGTGAACAGTATTAGATAGTCAGCAGGGAATTGTGTTGATGATCAGCTCCCCAAAGTGTAATTAATTGCAATCCTGTGAAGATTAACAACAACAGAGAACCATTCATTTTTTTTTAAGTACTCAGTCCCTGATGACAAAATGACACATACATTATTGAGGTGTCTGATTACACCCACCCAAAACTGAGTACAAAATGTAACAGAAATTTGAATGCGCAGTCAGCTGACATGATGAGTGATGAGAAGGGAAGGAAGGGCAACAGCCCACCATCTATAAACATTTTAGAGAAACAAATAAAAAAAAAAAAGCATTATTACTTTACAAATACATCACAGAAACAAAATATTCAAGCTGTGTATAGGTGGCTTTCCATTTGTCATAGCATCAAAGAAATGGTGGGAATAGACCTCTGGAGGTCTCTAGTCCAAGCCCTGCTTGGGGCAGGACTGTCACCAACACCAGATTACGTCAACCATGGCTTTGACTAGCCAAGGCTTGATAACTGCTGTGGATGGGGCATCCACGGAGATGGCACTGTGGTCCTGCTCATGAAGTTCCTTCCAAATTTCTAACCTGAACCTCCCAAGTTCCTCTAGAGTTAGAGTTCCTCTAACTCTTTGTTTCCCTTTCATCACACCAAACAAGCCCAGCTTCTGCAATCACTTCTCACAGAACATTTGTTTTAGGCCTCTTACCATCCTGGTATCCCCCTATTAGACCCTTTCCAGCTTGCCAACATCCTTCTTGAACTGGGGGCTTTTTTAGGGCCTCAGAAGGGCAAAAAACCCTCAAAACCAAACACAAATAATGGAGAAAAAAAGGAAAAACCCTACAAAGTCACATTTCTGTCATGAATCTACTTTCAAGTAGTTTGTGAAGATTTAATAATTATTCATAAGCTTTTAAACAAATATACTCATAACAGTATATAGCACATACTACTTCTAGGAGTCATGAACTGTGAGCAAATACAAGGTTGTGTTGCGCCTCTTTCCACTTTAATCATGAACTGTGAGCAAGGTTGTGTTGCGCCTCTTTCCACTTTAGTTATGGCACCTAACAAATGTAAGCCATTGTTCAAAGTGCTGACAGGTTTTGCCCCCCGTTGAGCAAGAATCATGTAAAGTTGAATCTAGGTCAGTACCAGCTACTCCATCCTCCCGGACTTCTCCATCTTCCATCAGGTGGACAATGGGGAGCACTGCTGCACAGATGCATGCGGGAAACACAGCTTGAGGTGGCTGTGGCACATGATGGTTTGGAGTATGCTCTGTAGTGTGTTCTTCATCTGGAGCAGTAAGAAGAGTAGAAGGTGAGTGTTAGTGAATAAGCCATGGTATTATCCAGGCAGGTTAAGATAAACATTTATGTTAGGTGTTGTACAACACAACAAAATGATAGGCTGTCTTATCACTGTGCAGGCACAGCAGGTTTACTGCTATCTCCAAGAAGAAACTGAGCCTCCAGCCAACTTCTTGATCAAGAATTTTCATTGTAAATATATATTTTTTCAGTTTACATTTCTCTTCTTGTAGGGGACAGTGGGAAGTCCTTTTTATTTTGGATTTAAAATTATCCATCCCTGTTTTCTTTCGGATGAAATCCCATTTCATTACCATTTTTCAGCCAGAGTGCTCTCCATGGCACTACTCTGTAAATGAAATGTGAGAAGGGAAGACATTGTGGCAGAAAAGTGAATAAATAATCCAGGGCAGTAATTTTTGATGAAGTGGCTCAATCTTGGGAATACCACCAGCTTTACGGGTCAACAGGAAAGGCTTCCAATGAATAAAATCCTGGGAAAGGATACTCCAAAGTGAAATCAACCCACCTTCTGCACTGACTGCTGACCGCACTGACCAGACAGAGCCACGGCGGAAAGAATAGTTCCTGTGAGATGTACTGGAGGTGCAGGAAGGACTCACAGAGAGTCGGCGGGAGGCCAGGTTGGCAACTTCTTCTACTGACAAAGAGAATGAGAAATGTCAATCCAGATCCAACTGACAGACTTTAGGGAACTTTCTGAAGAACAGCACTTACAATCAAATTGGAACTTTGAAAGTTCAAGTCAGGTAATGCTCAAAAGGCACAATTTAAAATCTATTAAGATCAGTCAGAGAGGTAATTTGCTAATGCTTTGGGAACCAGAAGAGCATTTTTCCATAAGTGTTCAGTGCTTTGGTGAGTCACATCGTAACTGCATCAACTCTATACTTCTTTTCATCTCCATCCTGTTAACCATCATGGTTGCTGGTGCTGAGTTTTTCCTAAGAATTGGGATTTCTGCTCACTGATTTCCCAATGCAAGTTTAGATCTGAAAATCACTGTGCTCACCTAATGGCACATACCTTGGAATGCCTTTAATGAAATCTTTGTGCTCTGTTAGCCTGGACCAGTGAAAATCCTCACTCAAAGACTCATGTCATGTAACTTTGGCCATCTGAAAGTTCAGTAGTGAGGCTGAGCTGGTCATCTAGGCTCCCCCACTACTCACCATAAAGGTAGAAAACTCCAGGGACAATTCAGCCTATCCTAAGCTATGTGTCTTATGACAGATACTGCCAAAGGGTGATTCCTTTCACTTTTTAATTATTAAAGGGTTCAAGTTGGGAAATACAAATTTCATTCCTGAGCACACCAAAGCAGAGATTTCTTAACACTAACAATCAATGTTCCTGGACGTTACACCCCTAAGCAGTGCTCCATGTTGTTGGCAGGTGTTCTCAGGTCCCTGGAATACAGTTCCTGGCCCTGGAGCACACCTTCTTCCTCCTGCTCTGAGCTTGGTGTGCAGGTTGGCTCGTAGCAGGCCTCCTGAGTGATGGGGATGGCAGTGATGAGGCTGGCTTCCCGGCCCAGGCGCTTCTTCTCTTCTTCCTGCTGCAGGTTCTTCAGGATGTGCTCTGCTCGCTGATGGGAACGTGACACGGCTCTGGCTGAAAATGACTTCTGTCAGAAAGAAAGAAGAAGAAACACAGCCAGAAGCTGTTAGTTAGGATGCAGACATCCTGTGTTTTCTGCCAGAGACCTTAGTGACATTCAGCAACTCAGTTTCTAACTACAAATCAGACTAGTGCTAGCTGAACAGAGATTGACCAAGAGACTCTTCTAGGAGCTATGTTTACAATAAGTGGACTTCCTCCTAGAGACGCCACATGAACCCATGCAGAGAAACTAGTCTGTCAGACCGTTCAAGTGAACTAATCTTCTCTTGGAGAGAGAACAGCTGGCTGCTCCTAAGATCCGAGTTACTGTCTCTCACATGGATATGATATGCAGTACAGTACCTCAGTGAGCCACCAGAAAATCCTTATGCCCACGTAAAAAATTCTGTGTGCCCTACATGGACAGGGTACTGGATTTTTCCCAGCTGAGAAAGACAGGAAAACTCTGAGTTTAGCCAACATCTTTTGGCTTTAGCTTCCCCCATGCTGCTACAGAAGAAAAACCGTGCTTACTCTCACAATGTCTCTGCTTACCGACTGGTCTTCATTTATAGGATCTTGCACACTCCCACTGCACTGGGGGACCCAGGGGGGGTCAAACATGGGCACGGATGGCATCCCCAGGACAGGAGAAGGCAGGGTGAAGTTTATACTTGGAGGAGGGATCTGACAAAAACACAAAAGACATTTTGTTACAGTAGACCATTATTGTCAGTACTGCTAATTAAACATGAGCACAAGTACCCAAGACCTTAATTACCTCTGCAGATTTTTCTAAACTCCATATCTCACTACACTGTAACACCATGTGTGATACAGACTTCTTTCTTTCTCTGGTGTTTTTTCTGACCTGCGTCCCCATTGCACTTTCCCCATTTTATACAGTTCTACATATCACCTCTCCCACTAGTGTGACTTACACAACCTTTTTTTTCTCTGAACATGTTTTCATGCAATTTCATGACAGCATGTCATTACACATCTGTCCCACAAGGCAAGTTGTAAATACCAACATTGTGTTTCATGTGTCCTGTCTACCTTAAAGATCTGCTGTGCTCCCTCTTCCATCCTTGGCCAGACTTGATACCTAAACCTCCAGAGCGTGTGAAATTTGAGAATGGCATTCAGTCTTTGCACTGTCTCCGGGTGATGAAATTCGGACATCAGCATGTCAGAAACGGCCTCTGGCACTTTCACAGCACACAGCAGGAACATGGCAGCTGCAGGGAGAGAACATCTGATCATCTGTTTTCCTTAATAATGTGTTTATTTGGCAGAGAAAAACTGCAGCTGTACAAACCCCCACCAAAAGAAACCTAATCTTGGCTCCAGAAATGAGATCAGCAGTCTACCAGACCTAGCGAAAATTGCACTGCTTCATGAAACCAAGCATGTGAGATTCCACCTTTTGGAGCCACACAGTGGTACGTGTGATGCTTGTAAAAGGTTCTGAAAAAACTGATTTTAAAATAAAACACAGTTTTTCTCTCCTCACTAAAATCTCAGTTCTGACTGGTTTAAAATAAGAAGCATCTCTTGAAGTTACAGGACTAACTCAGGCTTTCAAATATTCCACTTCCAAGTGATTCCTGTGATGATGAATAAAGGCTGGTTTAATGGGAGCTCAGCCTTCCCCGCAGAGCAGGAGGCAGTGCCCCAGGAGAGGTCTCACCTGTCTATTTTCATGGATAAAACCAAAAAGAAAGGTTCTTAGTTAAATGGGAACCATGCAATGATCACAATCAGTTTCCAAGAGAAAACAGAGATGCTATGAATTGAGAGACAAAGGACTAGATCACAATGGAAAACAGCACAACAGAAATTGAGCTGGCCCATAGTTGATTTGTTGGAGCGTATTTGAATATAAACAGACAATATAAACAGACTTATGGAGGCCAATTAATTTAGATGGGTATCTGAGGGGCACTGAGGAGGAAACAAAAGCAGGGGGAACAGTGTTGCTGTGGGAGTTCAGTGGGTGTCAGAGTCCACAGCTTCTCTGACCAGTAGCTCTCAAATAGGATGGATTTGAAACTGTGAGCTCATACTAACCAAGAAAAGAAATACACCTTTGGAAGAGGTCAGCAGATGGTGCTGTTGTACAGTAACACAGGAGTTCTTTTTATCCAGCTTATGGACAGCAACATGATTTTTCAGGTTTTGACCTTGATTAATCTAATTTATGCTGGGGCTGAAATAACTTGCTACTAAAAAAGCTACAGATCCTCAAATGGATCTTAATCCTCCCTTCAGGAAGGGGAGAAGGAGAAAGATGTATCTCAGAGACTGCTTTGGAGGAGCAGACAGCTAGCGCTCCTCAGGAAGAGTGGCAAAGCTTTCCCTGTGAGCCACGGTAAGTTTTTGGTAAGAGAGAAAGAGTATCCAAAATTATTCCCCCAGAAAGAGACTTGAAGGGGAGAAAGGAGTGCAGTTTCAGGCAGCTTGTTTCTCTTCTTTATTTTGCTCCTTTCTTTTCCTGTCTGCACATTTGGCCTGGGAAAGGCAAAGGTAAAGGGGAGAACACAGAGAAGATCTGTCACCTGTACAATTTAATACCAAGTGGAAATGAAAAAATTCAGATAAATACCATACCATAAGACTACTTATTGAGCAATGCTGCTGTCTCCATGCAACATGAGAATTTTCCTTTCAGGACAACAGAGAAACTGTGACAGTTCCACTCTCATACCCTTTCTCAGTTTTTGTATTAACTAGTACTAACAACTTCCATGAGGCAACATACAAAATACTTCAGTAAACTCTGAACAGATTGAATCACTGTGTTTCCTCTGCTTAGAAACCCAGATAAAAACAAATACTAATTCTGATGCTCTCTAATCATTCACCACAACAGAATCTGATCCTCCTGACCACCTCTTTTGTACAGAGCACAAAAACACATGAAAGTCTATAAAAACCAAATGAAACCCTCGGTGTTGTTAATACTCCTCCACTACAAAGATGTCTTGCAAGGCCTGTGATCTACTGTGATTTGTGCAGCCACGGTAGCCCAAACTAAGTGGCTCTGTTCTCTTACCTGCGGCTCCAGCCATGTGTTCATCCACGCTGAGCAGGAGCTCCCAGGCTGCTGGCTGGATGTCCCCGTACATCTCTTCTGTGAGGATGGGAGCTGCCTTGATTAGCAGTGACAAAGGTGCAGGGGAGAGGCTCATTACCTGCAAAAAACCAAGCCATGCCTTGCAGCTGAGCTGTGCAAACTATCCACAGTGAGCAACACACTCAGTAATTTTACCCTAGTTTTGGGCTGCAGATAACCCACTGATAACCTCTAGTTTTAGCCATTTCAGATGGAAGAGCATTGCTTTCAGCCTATGCTGAAAGAGCAGTGTTTACAAGTTAGTTTCCCAAGTTTGCTGCTAGTCACTCATGTCACCAAAACACTGATAAAGAGGACAAAAGGAAAACCAAGCTCTCTCAAGGTGGTGCACAATGATACAGATCCATGAAAATCCCACAGACTGCCAAGAACAGGCCTGTGAAGGGCCTGTTGCTTCTTCAGGAACACTGAACAAGAAAGAACAAAGAAAACTGTTGCTGTAAACTGACAGGTTGTATTTAAAGACATTTGTGTGTTTGTGTGTGGGGGGGGTGCTGTATTTTTATATTTTCATTTTTTGTATCCCCACTTTTGATGCTTGTGTCGCTATGGGTATTTAAACACATTTGTGTGTGTGTGTGGGGGGGGGTGCTGTATTTTTATATTTTCATTTTTTGTATCCCCACTTTTGATGCTTGTGTCGCTATGGGAAGCCAGAGATGCAGACTGCCATTTAACAGAGCTACATGTTTAAAGGATTCTTTGATGGGGTTACCTTAAGAGGCTTAATTTTACCATTACTCAGCTGGGGGAAACATGCAGGGTTGAACTGATTGATATTGAGGAACAACAGTTCTTTACATGGGCTTGGAGATCCACATATATTTTCCTTCCTGTTGGAGTCTAACCTGACATCTCTGTATCATCCTCCCTAACTAGCATATGGCCTAGTCAGTACCTGGTGCCTGATGTATTTCAGCATTCCAGAGTCCTTCTTCCCTTCCAAATTGATATCAATCACTCTCTTTTTTAGAGAAGGAGTTCTCAAGCATGACTTGTCTGAGCACTGAAAGGAAAAAGAAAGGAAGTGGAGTTCACATTTAGATTTCCCAAAATGTGGAAGGGAGGAGATCATGTACAAGAGGAATTTCCATACACTAGAATTCGTCTGATACCAGAGCTGTAGCACAAAGCCTTCTTCTGTGCTGGCAACAGGCCTGCATCAGTGAGATGACATATCTCATCCAATTTTCTTCTCTTTTTAATTATGTTTTTTCCCAATAAAAGCTGAAGGCAGAAGCCAGTAAACCAAATGAGGAAGTGATGTTTTTTCCCAATAAAAGCTTAAGGCAGAAGCCAGTAAACCAAATGAGGAATGTGAATGTGCTCTGTGTAATCTTCACAGGTGGCACCATCCACATATTTTAGGAGAACAGTACTTTAAGCAAGTTAAAGGTTAAAAGTCTACATCTTCCCTCTAAAAAATTACCAATGGAGGTGTCCAGTGTGTACAACACTGATTCTTCTCGGCTAAATTTATCTTCTCTTCCTCAGAAAGCATACGTGACAGCACATTTCAGGACTTGAGCTTATGCCTGCCTGAGAGTTGTCCCTAGCAGATTGCCAATGCCAGTGATAATGACAAGTCCTTTTTATGTTCATTACTCCCAATACCAGGGACTTTCCCCAGAATGCTAGGTTGTCACAGACTCTTCTCCTCAAGCTAGTATCCTGCTGATTAACACAGGGATCCTCGTTTGTCAGAGAGCTCACAAGCCGCACGGACCACATAGCCGGGTCTGCATATTGCAGCTACCTCCACCAGCCTTTCACTCTGCAAGCTCTGAGAGTAAGAGAGAGGTTCCTCTGGAACCCAGATACATGTGGAAATGGTGCCAGAGAATGATAACACTTGAAGAATACTAGAGCATGAGGAACGGGGATAGAAAGTCTACTGTTTCATAAAATTGAGAATTTATCAATTGCTCTCCTACAGTGAGGTCAGTACAAACACGGTGCATATATTTGTAGGAAAGCTTATTGTCCCTCAACCTCTTTTTTCCTTGCTGTTGCTTGAAGGCTTTGATGGATGATGAAATGTGTATCACTTTACTTTGCTGTTCGAAGTTGGAGATGAAACACACAGTAATGCACCATGTTCTTTTGCTGCCTTTCATGAACACTGCCAGCTGCTCATCTCAAGCCTAGCTTCTTTAGAGGAAATGACAGCCTCTCTTCCTAAGTAACTAACTGATATACTACTTTTCTGTGTCAGAGGAAATATATGGGGATTACAGTTTTCCAGCAAAGCAGAATCATTATCTGTTGTTTTGTCTGCTCTGTGCCTTGTTCCATACAAATACCCTTCAATTTTCTAACTTGCCAGGAAACAAACAATCTGAAGGTTGATAAAGAAACATTATGAACTTGTCTCCTCCTTCATTTTCCCCTCACAGGGATGATAGCCTCTTTATCCAACTCAAATCTTGATGAGAATTTAATGAACACTTCTGTTTTCAACATTACTGCAAAGCAGTTGAATGACTCCACCATTACAAGTATTCAGAATAACTGTAGTCTGTCTGTTGTGATCAGGAATACAGAAGTATTAACCAACTCTTGACATTATTCAGTTGGTACCTGGGTGGGCACTTCACTGAAAGCAGAAATGTATTTCCCCTGAAGTTAAAGGCACCATTTATATGGCTAAAAAGGCACAATCTTGCTTGAATATGCTGCTGAACTGGTCATTAAAAGTGTGTCACTAAAGAGACTGTAACATTAAAGACTAATGTACACAATTCTTGGAACAGCTCTGAGAGCTCAGACCTAAAAGAAATAAATTTTGCAAGATTTTACAAGGATTTCAAGAGTGATTCATATTAACAGATGAGAAGAAACATGCAAAGAAAGACTGGACTCCAGAGGTTGATAAAGTAGTGGCCATAAAAGAACATTAAAATGAAAGTCAGGTTATAAGCTTTTAAATGACCTTATCAGCAACTAAGATTCTTCCCGATGACTACAGATTACATTGCTTCCAAAATGCTAAATGACTTAATAGGTTTTTTTACAGCAGAACTGTGTTTAGGAAGAGTTGTGTTCATTTTGTCACGAAAGAACTGTTTGAGTACACTACACAGTCCTTGAAGGTAATTATGACCTGCCTGGACAAACCCCAAAACATGCTGCTTTTTCCATGTACTCACTTCCTTTTGCTTTTTGCCTCTTGACACACTGTTCAATGTGCTGTTTTCTCGCAGAGAGTCCACAGTGTCTCCATACAGGAGTTTGATGGCCCGGACAAGGCGAGCACAGGACCGGCTGTGATGGAGGTAGCAGTGTGGGTGACAATAGTCAATGTGGGTACATATGAAACTCTGCTGGTTGCATAATAGAATCATAACCTTGAAAAGAAAAAAAAAAATAGAACAGTTACCTATAGAAAAGGGAGCTACACAGAGGACGAATGGCATAGGGCAGCCTGTCATGGGGACAGCCAAACTAACTTTTCCACAGCCTAGCTGGGGAGACATGAAGCTCAACATAGCTTTTTGAAAAGGTATGCGTGTCTGTGAAGAGCTCCATACATGCAAGTGGTTTACAAACTAGCTAGGCAAGGCTAAAGAAACATTAATGTTAACAAAGCAGACAAAGAGACAGAGCTGCTTTAGGTGTTTATGTTTGGCTGGTGGCAAGATTAAGGCTGAGGGAAACACTATTCTCTCAGTTTGCAGAAGAGTTATTGTATTGCCACTCTGAGATGAGGGCTTAGAGTGGAAATTGTCAACTACTCAATCATCATCAAAGCTGCAAACCCACCAGGTTTGGGGGTTAGTTTCCTTCAAGGAATGGGAAAGGAAATGTCTCAGTATGCTCTCAAGTAGGAATAAGCTGTGCCGGTTGTTCTGCATGTGCTTCCCTCTTTGTGCTTGGGTAGGTCCGTTCAGCCTAGCGTTACGCTAGCTGGCTCAGTGACTGTTTCTAGTGGTGTTGCCATATGGCAGCAGGTAGCTGTAAAACTCGTCTAAGAAACAGAGTAAATATTTGGGCATTTAGCTAATTCGGAGCCCCGCTTTGCTGCAGCAACACCGCTATTAGTCTCTAAACTAACTAATTGAAGACAACCTTGGATAAGTCTATGCTTCAGTGACTGCTCTCTGGTGTAACTCAGAGGGTTTCTTCCCAGAGGAGCAGAGCTCAGTCCACCAGCTCTTTGTACATTGGTCTTCATGTCACACACAGACCCATCCACTTAGTAGAACTCTGAGGAAAACACAGACATCCCCAAGCCATTCACACTGTAGGTCATAACTGGCCTTTATGAATCCTTCTATTCATCCCACAACCCAGTGCAGAAATATTCAGCACTACCAGGAAGAGGCTATCCCATCTTTTCCAACTGTTTATGGTCTGTGCAGCTGCAGTGTGCTGTTTCTCTCAAGTAAGGCAGCCAAAACACTCTTAACCCTCAAATATTTAGGCTTCTAAAAAGTCAGAAGCTTAATTTAAAACAAAACTGTGCTGTGTATGTAGGATTCTTTTCTTTGCCTACTTGTTCTGGCCTCATGTTATTTTGGGGTCAGTTAGGAATAACTCAAGCCACTAGTGTTGTACCAATGGGCAAATGGTGTAAACCCGATCAGCACTGCATAGCGTCTACGCCATCTCTGGTCCACTGTTATAGCTTGTAGTTATGGTACACTGACACAGATAGAGTGAGCACATCATGCTCCGGGCTGCTGTAAAGGACAGGTAGAGGAAATGCTGGTGAATGCACAGAAGCAACTGGAACCAGTGATCCTTTTGAGTAGTTTTCTCATGACCATTAAGCAGGAGGTTTTTTGCTTGTAGTTTTAGTGACCATCCACACACACCTTCTTACCAACAAACAAAAAGAGAAAGTTTTCATGCGATACTGGTACTTGCATGGCATTTACTGGAACAGGTGATTTTTCAAATCTTCCTTTCTCCTATGCAGGCTAATCACATGTGAAGTTAGACAAACATCTCAAGTTCCCTTCAGTTTATGCCTCGCATTTATGAGTCCATGCGTCCTCCCATATTGAACAAAAGCACCATGACTTATCCTAAGCTGCACACTCTCACGTCTAATATACTCAGGAATTTCCAAATCTGACAGAGAAGTGGGGTAGCCACTTGGAAGACATGACATTCAGTCTCCCCACCCTGCCACCCTCTTCCAAAAAAAAAAAAGAGTGCTTTTCAAATCAAGAACTGCTTCTGACATCACAGTATTAGATTAAGCTTGGTTTTACCCACACCTGCATGAAATACTTGGGCAAAAGAGGGGATTATCAACTCATTATTGGCAGCTGTCTTTCCTAAAGGCAGATCAAAGGTCAAAAGGAGCTTCTGGGAGGCATCTGTCCTCATGCACATGTGCAGGATACAATCAATCTGTGCACAGGGAGTCAACCCAACTTTTTGGCAAAGCATGTGCACAAGGGCACAATGACAATACTCTACCATCATACCACATCACGAGGCAACAGAGGCAGAGGTGTACAGTCCTTGGATACCAGTGGATTGAACTGTGTGGACTTGCTGAACTGACTTTTGGCATGTCAAAATCATGGGTGCAGAGATCATCAAAATGGATGTCTTAGGCCCTGCATGATGAAACCACATTTGCACTGTCGTACTCCCTGTCTGTTGGATAGAGTTAAAACTACACAAGGCCCTGTTGGGCTAGACATTGTGATAGAATGCACCTAATGGAATCAAAGAAAATGTTCCAAAAGTAAGTATTTTTTCCCACAAGGTGCATAATTAACTCATTGCCATAGAGTTAATGGAGACAAAAATATACAAAATGGCTCAAAAAGGGGTTGGAAAAACTCCCCAAGGAAAAATCTTCTGGTAGTTGGTAAACACAGTGGTCACAACAGAATCTCCAGCTCAAGTAGCTTCTAAAATATCATTTCCCGGAAGCTGGGAGCCCAGCTCACACTGTAACCCGTTCTGTTACTCTTCCTGGACTACCCACTACTACCCACGCTGGAGATAAGATACTGAGCTGATGAATTTTTCAGCTGAGGTAGCATGGATGTCCCTGCATGCCTGGAGAGAAATAGTCCCTTTTCCCTTACAAACTAAATATATGAAATAGAGTGAGCACAACAGAAACTTTCTGGTTTTAGTCCATTTTAGAAATGGCAAACAGACAATTTCCAAAGATCACAGCTTACTTACACTTGAGATCCTTGATGCTACAAAGAGAGAGCACAGATTTTGGTCTGGTTATTGCCAGCACAAAGGTTTTCCTACTAAAAATGCTATCCTTGAGAGCACTGCTGATGACTCATACTTACATGCAGCCATGACATGTTCCGATGATAGTTCTCCTCCATGCCTGTGTTGCTCAGCACCTCGGGCTCAATGCTAGGTTCACTTGCGCTCCAAGGGCTCCCTTCTTCAAAAGAAAAATACCCAAAAGGTGGTTGTTTTTATTGCTCCCTATGTGCTTAAAGACTAGGGACAGCACTTGTAAGCCAGGCCAGCCTTGTGGGAACAGACCAGAGTACACAGAATATGCCACACTGGTAAGACTGTTTGGACACCCCTCCCCAGTCCTTGTGTCATGCTGGCTTGACAATTACAAGAATCATTTAGGCTGGGCTCAAAGGCCATCTTGTCAGTAGCAAACACTGCTCCCTCCCCACTTTTTTCTTTAATGGAATGGGAGAAGGTAAATTAAAAACATCAGAAACAAATTATTTGCACCATTCAGATGCTGCAAATGGTTGGTTTAGTGATCTGCATTGACTGGGCTCTGTGGTTAAAAGTGTCAACAAAAATCCAACCAGAAGTGGCATCCAACTGGAAATGCCAATGGGCAGTCACTACTAACTGCCCATGGAAACTGCTGATGTCATGGGGATGAAAGGGGAAAAAAATCCTGGTTCTAGCACACTAGCTCTAAAGAACTCAGGCAAGAGAGATTTCTCTGGGAACTTCACTGATCCCTGTGTTTCCTCTGGCCATTCCATAACCTACGGACCTCCTATAGTACCAACATTAATGCTGTTAAGAGATGGCTGGGGGTGAACTCTGGTTAATCCTTTCTTTCTCCTCTTGAAGTGAACTGTGACTTGCCAAAGGCAATGCCACTCTCCATGTTCACCTACCGAAGCACCTTTTGGGCAACATAAAAATGACCATTAAGCTTGGGGGGTTATTTCAGCTCCAAATGTATCCAAACTGTAGTTTTTCGGTTAACACCCCTAGCAGAGGGAGCCCCTTTAGTTCAGCTGTGATGGATATTTCTCATGGCAGGATGCATATTTGATTTCCATAAGGTAAATATATGGGGAGTCATCTTTTGAAGACCTGGGCAGGCATCTATAAACTGTAAAAATATATGTATATGCCAATATGTAGAAATATAGTATGCAGCATGTACATGTTATGTTCCTATATATACAGGAATATATACAGTACATGTCATCCGACATGCCTATGACATCATAAGCTACATAGAATATGAAGTGCACATCTGTACATATATATATATATCTCCTATCTGTTAATATGGACAATATCATATATGCATATGACCTCACATATTCATTATACGATATGATTTAGGGGTGTGTGTATGTGCACATAAACATACACACGTGCATGTGTTCCCCTAAAGACAGCGTGCGTTCAGCTGGCAGGCACCAGCATTCCAAGAGTTCATGCTCTAACACGGAGCTCTGAATCAACAACCTGTGCACAGAGCCGATGCTGCACCCAGGATTCGAACCATGTTCCTCCCCGGCAGTCCCTGAAGAGGATTCTATGTTTTTCCTAGCCTGCTGGGATGGGGGTCTCTTGTAATTTCTAGCTCTGCTGCAATCACATTAAGAGTTTAGGTCCTGCCTACTGTCCCCTCCCTTTCCACCCACTTGTCTAAGTTACCTATATCAGTGACAGTGTCCCTGCTGTGGGACAGCTGCAGCTCCTCATTCTCAGACTCTGAGTCCTGCCGTGATAACTTGGTGCTCTTTAGGCTGCCGGCCCGGCGAATGCTGGAAAGGGAACCCCCCTTCTTCACCCGGAAACTGCGGGTTCCTTTAATCTGGAGCAAGCGGGAGCCTCCTATCCTGATCTTCCTGCTGGGAACTGTATTAAAAGAATAAGAGAGGACTTTTTTCCCCTTAATTTTTCCCCATTTAAAAAATAAATATATCCTAGCCCTCCCCTCCCTCCCGACCTTTTGCTGACAGCCTGTATTGAGGCTTCTTCTACCAAGGAATGTGGGGCCAGAGGCTCCCTCCAAAGCCACCGCCAATGCAGCTCTGTCAATCAGGCAGTAAAGATGCTTTACGGAAATGTATTCAGCACCTCCTTTCCTGGAGACCTGGTACGTCACCTCAGGCCTTGTCTGTATTTGGAATTAACCCTTGTTTGACCACCAGCAAGTAGAGTCAGCTGCTCTAACAGAAACCCAAAACGTAGGCAAGGAAAACCTACGATTCACACCAGTTGGAATCAATTCCTGCCAGGAAACAGGATCTGCCCAATGGACGTAAATTGCAGTTTTCTTTGCCAGCCCTGGGGTTTGCATTAGTGCAGAATCACCTCTTGCTAGGGATAGGTGGCTGAATCCCAAGCATGAACAAGGCACCATGGACAAACCTATTTTCCTGTGGGCCTGGGTTCTGTAAACCTCACTGAGCTCTGCAGTAGGATCAATTATGTATTCATACAGCACGTGTGACTGCAGAAGGGTAGTCTGCTTCATGAGGTTAGCACGCAAGGCTTCTTTGAAGTAAGATTTGCATAAATCCGTGTCTCTGCATGTTACTCTTCATCATTAGAATGCTTTAGAGGAAACGGGAACACGTAGATCCTCTCCTTCAGACAAATCAGCAGCTTTCAGGCATTAACAACATCCATTGACACTCTGCATTTTTGATGAGCACAGACATGAAATGGTTCGATGTTCAAAGCACCAACTGTTTGTACTTTCATTCTCCTCTTAGTTCAAAGGCAGTACATGGCAGCATGTCAGTCCAAATGTTGCAACACTCAGTCATTTTACTGCACATCTAATCAGGCAAGGCCATGTGTGACCAACTAGCTTTTGGTGTGTTGTTGAGAATGAACAGGATACGGCTTTTTGGATATGATGGGTAAGCAAAATATTTTAATGGAATTGTATTTTGGCTTCAGGAAAAATCAAACACATCTTTACTCCTGAGAATGCCCCTAATTCCTCTGGAACCCAATTCACACTTCCATTTCCAGTGGCTAACGTCCTGGCCGAAGACAGCTGGATAGGTTTTGAGAGCTATGCTTCAGTCCTCATGAATCAGCTGGACAAATCACTCTTGAGTGACCAGAGAATCTCCCTCCCAGTGACTTTGCTGAGTTCTTTAGCAATCACTACTGCTTGAATTCTGTTCAGATCAGCCTCAGTTCAGTGGCTTAGTTCCCCCAAATGCCAAACCATTTAAGCACTTATAACTGCATTGCATGAGATCTGCAGAATCCCATTTTAGCACCCAAATAGTAGAGATGATCCTCTGAGAGCCTGCACCTACCTAGCTTTAGTGTCTATATTTCAGACCTACCTGGAGCAGATTCTATACAGTAAATTTGTAGCTTTTGGATAGCTGTTAAGCCACACCTGGGGTGAGCAGTGAGAGCAAAGTTTTTAACACTCAGGAAAAAATGAAAGGAAACAGATTAGTACTCATCAAAGAGGTTGTGATAAAGAAACCTGTCACTGCAGGCAAGAAAAATTTAGTTACATTCACACAATAACATTTTCTTATCTAGAAAAGCGTAGATTACAAAAGATGCCTCTGCATCTGTTATGTTTGGCCCAGGTGGATCCCTGGAAGAATATGCTGTGGCCAGAGAAAAGAACATAATTATTGTCATTTTAAAATATTACATTGTCTTGCATTTATCTAGCTTCCAAAATACTGCAAATACATTTTTGCTAGAGTATATTAGGATTCACTCTCCCTACCATAGTGATTTTTCCCATCTCTAAAATGTAGTAAAGAGGCAGCTTCAGTAAAGAATACTACATATCAGCTTAGGGAAAAGTGAGAAAGGGGGGAAAAAACCCTACTGAAACTGCAGGGAAAATGTATTTTAACAGAATCAAGCATGCAGAAAGTTAATATTATCTTTGCAAAAATAAGTCAATTCTGCTTTATGCCTGTAACACAGTAACCCATGAAGAAAACCTAAGTCAACATTGCCTCTAAGAAAAATAAGACAGTTAGAGACTGGCCACGAGCATTTTCCAGCAGCACTGTGTGCTTGTAGGCATTCTCACACTCAGGTAACATCCCAGTGGATGGGACTGCTGTCTGAGAGGCTGGAAAGTAGTTTCAAGTAATTGTCATAACTATCTTAAAATAAAAACTACTCAAAACCAAGCTTTTCGTCATCTAAATAGTTAGGGGCGTCTTAACCCACTCATCTTAGACTATCAGACAGACCATAAGGCTGTGTGCTTCTCTGGGCTGCCAGCATGCCAAGGGTATGAAAAATGAGGTTGAGCACGAATTTATCCAGCTCCTTTCTTAGGTGGATACCTAGCTGTCTTCACAGGAGTAACTGTCCCACCAGACACACGATTTTGGGGCAGTTTACACCATGTAAGTCTTGGAAAGAGTTCTAATATTTTCTCCAGTAATTGTGGTAGAGTCACAGCTGAAGACAATGCAAACTTTATCCAAAGCCTCCTGAAGTCAATAAATGCTCCTCTGAATCATTAATACACATTACAGTTCCTAGAGGATAACCAGCCACAGACGCCATCCTTTTCAAACAATCATCAAACATTTATCCTTTTCAAACAATCATTAAAATTATCATTCAAACATCTGTACCTTTATATGGCTATTATAAGACAGGATCTAAACAGTTCTAGAAATGTTGTAGAGGGAGAATCATTTACAAGTAACTGGTAATTTAGACTCTAATTGCAAATACGCACGATGACTGTATATTGTATTGCAACACTTGCACCATCAGATAGTATGGGAGTTTTGCATGAGATGGCTCAAAAATGGAAACAATCTGCTGTTCTCAGCAAACACAGTGAGCTTGAGGTTTGCTTGTACAGTATACAGTATGTCGGTAACATTAATCTGCTAGCCATCAAAAGCCACATAGGTTGTGTTTTTCATGTGGTAGCAAAGAATTCAAGAGATCAAGTGATTAACCACTAATTCAGTGAGATGCCATGACTTTCAAACCAGTACAGATTTTCACAGAAAGATTCTGGTCTTCCCTCCTATCTTTGGTTTTCCCAAAATGAAAAATTGTAATCAGAATAAAAACCAAACAAGAACATTTTTGATCTTTATTTTTAAGTGAATCAAATAGTGATCCTTCTCTCAGCATCCCACTGAGAGACAGTTTCAAACAAGGCATCCTCCTTTTGGGAAATCTTGCAATGCTCTCAATCAGTTTCAGTCATAGCAGTGTTTTATAAAATTTAACATCTTTGCTTCTCACATTTGTTATATTGAACCCTGAAGGCCAGAAGCGTCTCAGAAATGATTCAAAGCCACGTGACTCCATGGCTGCCTGCTGTTTAACACAGTCTGTGCAAATGAAAACATAAAATCAAGCGCCACTTGACAAGCCCTGAGAAAACATAAGCCTTATTGTACTGACAAACCTTTTTTCTCCTCGAAGCCAGCCTCAGATTTGAGGGTGTGGCTGCTGCTGTGCAGGGAATCCTTTGAATCTTCATTTTCATCCAAAACCCCAGCAAAGCTGATCTTTCTTTCATACCTGTGTCGGTCCATCTCAGGGTCCAGACGCAGCCTGCAGCTCTCCAGATCCTGTAGCAGAATGCAGACCACACAGATGTGTAAACAGTACGAGCCCCCACGCTTTTCACTGCAACTATATAAGCTTCAGGAAGAACTGCTTCAGATGGAAATTTATTTCTATCACACAGTTCTCCATCTGCCCTGACACTTTCTAATCCTACTGCTCTTTGGGCTTGCAGCAAAGTTAGCTTGCATCTATTCCACCAGCTTCAGCAAAAGGCGTCGATTGAAACTTCTGTCAGGACTGCCCTACCTCACTGAAACATAGGTAAGGGCGCTTATGCCCTCAGCCTGGTGAGTCTGGATGGACTGTGGGTAGTGAAACTCACTCATCGCAACTAGCTGAGTTCCAAACGCTTTGGTTGTTCAAGGCTGCTAAGTCTGTGCTCATACCTATGGGACAGGTATGCCTGCAAACACCAGTGGAAGTGAGATTTGCTCTACTGGAATTTCAGCTTTATGGACCATAATATAATGTACCCTATTCTCTTGAAAAGGAAGAATCACTCCATAAATACAGAGACTTAATATTTTAAGTGTTTTTGGCTCTTTTATTTTTTCCCCGTAGAAAGTTAAAAGCAGCACACTATGGCCATTTTCTCTAATAGGCTCTTGCATAACGTGACCTTAAGGTCACGTTCTTCTGCCTATGCATCACAGAATAATTCTTCCTCCTCCTTCTCTCCCATACACAACTTTGAAAAGTTATTTATCAGTTGCATTTCTATCTGGCACAAAAGCACAAATTTCTGTTGACCTTCATTACCTAACTTAATCTTAGTTCCAAGCCTAACTACTTTACTGAGATGAATTTTAAACCCTGTTGTTATCGTGCTTTTCGATGCAGTAATTTATTATGTAGCAAAAATACCAACAAAGTGTTTAGGAAGACTCCTGTTGAATGTATCCCTGTTTTTTAAAATTGCCCTTCTTGCATTCCTGGGGGCTGAGTCACTTCATTATAGATCATCTTCAGCCTTTGAAACTAACTTCAGAACCTAATTACAAGAATGCCCAGCCAAATCAGCCTGTCATCTGCAAAATTTGATCTCAGTCTGTCATTAGCAAAAACCAGAATAGTAGGGCTAAATCCTTCATGTTCACTTGGAAACTTCTAATTCTTTCTTTCTAATTTTTATCCTGATTTCCTAAATAAATCAGGATTAAAATATGAATCTGTGTGTCTGCCATTCAATTCTCATCTCATTGCATGCTAACCACTTCTGAAGCTGATGGCCACCTTCAACCCAATTTGACAAAAGATAACTGAGTGCCTCTATATTTTGTGAAAAAACAGTCTGAAGGCAATCTTAAACTGTATTATTAGACATAAGAAAATCCACACAAGAATGAACCACTGGAAATCACGTTTCACGCGTTCTGCTGTTCACAAAATTAGTTGTCACCTTATCAGTCATTTAGCTTACTATTCATGCCAGAATTTGCCTGTGCCCGTCTCAGTCTCATGGAGGTTTATTTCTTTCCTTGCTCCTTTGTTTCTTTCCTTTCTTCCCCCAGTCCCTTCAATTCTGTTGCCTGACCCAAGCCAAAAATCTGCAACTTTTAACCTCCTCTTTCCTTTCTCATAACTGCCCTGTTCAGTTCTCTGTCAACTGACCCTCCTAAGCAGCTAGGCAGCATGTGAGCTGTCAACTCCTGCAGTCCATCTTCCGCACCCCTCAGGTCCCCCACACTCAGTTTCTCAATTCATCTGCTACCCTTTTCTCCATTTTGAAACTTCCTTGAACTTCCAGTACATATTGTGCTTCCACAGTCTTTATCTTCTTAATCAACCCATTTGATGTGCCCGCCAATCTTCTATTTACCAGACAACAGCTCCTTTCTCCCTTTCAGATATCCACCTGAGTTATTACCCCACCCCACCTCTCCTCAGACAGGCCCAGAGCCCAGTGACCTCTGCGGGCACTGCTCCCTCTTCAATGTGAATTGTTCACTTACCACAAGAGGCTCAGTACGTGGCCTATCTCTCGAAGGAAAGTGGTTATCTCCAGGAGAAGCTGACAGGCTGCCATTTTCAGTGCAAAAGGGCAACAACATTTGGTAGGATTCACAGTGCCTAGGGAAAAATATTTCTATTGTCAGCAAGGAGATTATACAAAATCCGGAACCAAGAGGTGATGGACATTTTCACACATGGTGCACAATGCAAGCTTCACTAAAAAAGAGGAAAACCCAGACTTCTATCTATGCTGCTTTTCCTACACTAAAAAGAACATAGTCAAACAAATTAATCCACATATTTACCAGCACACGCAATAGCACTAACACACTACAGTGTACTATAGTATTATATTGTACTATATTACAGTGAAGTAACACCAATGTACTGTAGCATATCTATCGTATATTATGGTGAAGTACCTACTAAATGTGACCTTATAGCATTTTGTATACATCTCATTTAAAGTTAAGAAATAAATACCTTTATTTCCCTTTACAGTTTTGCATTCAGACAAATCTTGTGCAGTTCTAGAAAAGAACCACTTCAAAATAGAGGAAAATTTCTCAAAATACATGGAGTTATGACTAGTCAGCAAAGAGGTACTGTGCCTATTATTAATTACTGCCCTGATGCCTGGAAAAGACAGCCTCCTTTGAGTCAGACTTCTTTATTTGTGCATAGAATCCAAGTGCTGTTTAAAGATAATCAAGAAAAAAAAAATCAAACTGTTTAGTCAAATTATACATTCAAATGCTTAACATAAAAC